GATAAAGATAAAATGCAACATCCAGCTTAATTTGTTACCGAATATAAATACAAATCGTTAGTGTTATCTGAACACAGTTTAAAGCAATCAACGTGGAGGTGAAGTTGAGCGGGGGGGGGGGGGGGGAGGGGAAGTTACATCAACTAAACTGTTGCAAGATGTATCTCTGTGGAAAACGGTTTGTTTGGGAATAGTAATAACCTATATGTAATCCATGTGTGTGTGGGGGGGGGGGGGGTAAAAAATTAAATACATCCAGCAGAAAATCAAATATTTGAATACATATACACATACATATACACATACTTACAAATGTATATAGAATATATATAAGTATATATACATGTATATATATATATATATATATATATATATATATATATATATCGTTATCGTTTATGGGTGGAGGGGTGACACCATTAGGTGCCGCACCTGGTGACACCCGACCTCGATACGCCACTGACTTGGTTCACTAGGGTTTTTTTTTTTGGTTTGATTACTCTGCTACCGTCTTATCGGGATTGTAAATATTGTTGAAACTGTTCCAAACTGTTATTATCAGTAAGCAAAATAATTGCTGATGTTCTGTCAACATGCGTGCTTTTTAAATAGAAAGCGTATTACTATTTTAATTAATCATCTTATGTCAGCATGTTAGATTTCGTCAGTACTGATAATGAGATAAATGGTATATAACGACTGCCTATTTGATGTTCTGTCAAATTGTCGACAATGTTGAACTTTGTGTCAAGTGCTGCTTTCTTCTTAGCAGTAATTTCCACAGGTTGGTGTTTTATATTCAAAGGAGTGAGTTAAGTCTGCAGACGTTAGTGATTAAAATTGTACGAGCCGACCCGCGCCGTAGCATGCGTAGCTATTTATTTGTTTTATTTTCTACTTTTCAATAATTCATAATTAGAAAGCAGCCGTCCGTGACGACAGTTTACAGACGACAATAAAAAGATGAAGCAGAACGTGTTACCTCCTCTTAGTTTTAGTTTATATGTCCCATAATAGTCCAAAATAATAATAATAATTCAAAGCCTCTATGATTGTAAACATTCGGCGTGAACCACAGATCACCAGACTGGCGGGGGTGGGGTCGATAGCGATATGGTCTGTTGCGCATGCCTGCAGAGCGAAGGAGGAAGATTAGATCATCGTGGTGGTGTCCACGTAGCGAATTATCTATATAGATTAATCTTAGTTGCTTCAACTTAAAGTAAAACTAATACAATAACTACTGTATTCTAAAACTATTTTCAGCCCTCGGCCTGGAGATACAAGCCACGCCCACTACATTTGAGATTGGAATCACCAGGACATTGACCGTCAAATGCCTGGCACCAAAAGAGACCAACTCTTCCATGGAGAGCCTGATCTCCTTGGTGATTTCTAGATCCGACGGTTCTCAAAATGCCGTTTTCAAAGAACTCGCTTCTATCAACGGTTTACACGCAGACGGCCAGGTCATCCAAAACGGCAATGATAACGAAACATCGGAAGGAAAAATTGACAACAACGGCCCCTCACACTTAACTCTAGTTTGGCTATTTCCCGACGCTAACAAAGCCGGTGTGTACATGTGTCAAGCTAACGGTGTGGATTTCTCCGGTCATCCAGTGTCTAAAAATAGTCTACCAGTCGCAGTTAAGGCGATTCCTCCTGCAGTCGAAACGTTGATGAATCAAGTTCAAACCCTATCAACTCAAATGGAACGAATGGTTATTTTATTAAATCGTTTGGAGCGCATGAAATCAGTTATGTTCAGTTCACAAACGTCATATAATGGACATCGTTATTATCTGTCTTACCCACATAAGACTATTGTCGTACACGATGTAGCAGCTGTCTGCGAAATGTTTGGTGGTTATTTGGTTGAAATAGATTCATATTCCGAATTTACGCATATAGGTAGTTTTCTGCATGGCCAACGCGATATCAAAATTGCTTTAAGCGGAATTACCGATGAACAGCATGAAGGTTTGTGGCGCAACAGAAATGCTGGAACAGACGTTGCCCCTTACGTCAACGTCACAGCAGGAGACGGAAGTAGCCCCACCTCAAAAAACTGTGCTTTATTTACTCTATTTGGCGGATATGCTATGGTGGATATCCCTTGTTCTAATGAATGGGACACATTTTTTGCTGGATTTATATGCGAGATTCCATATTGATGTAATATTTACTAGATTTTTCAATTTGTAAAAAAATAAAATATGTTTAAAATTAATTCATTGATTTAAACAGCTGTAGCTGCAAAACGTGAAGACTTCTTGAAAAAATGATGATTTTTTTAAAACTGTTTATTAAGCTATTTGTCAATGTATCTATATTACAACATGAAAACCATATATGCCCACAGTGGTATATTTAAAAACATTGATGTACGGAATTTTGAAATTAAATAAACCGGGAGTGATCTCCCCTAGACTTTCTCGAATATTCTTATATAAAACAGGGGATGTGACCTCGGGCTATAGACATGATTTATAATCCATTTTAAATACTTAAAGTTTTAAAAATAGAACAAAATCTCGTAGACAAAAGAATTGCACACCAAGTGAACGTAAAATAAAAAAGTGCATAATAGTGCGCAATATTATTAGTACTTTAAAAATTTACATTAGTTTTTTGAGAAATCGGAAGTAGCTTAAATTACTACTTCCGGTCAACAGAAATCATTCAAAATTTAACAGAAAGGTAGAAAATTAGATCTTTTACTCACACGTGAAATTTCATTTATTTATCTGAAATAGTACTCAAGTTATAGGCTTTTGAAAAATTCAAAGTAGAACAAGTACCACTTCCGGTTATCGGAAATAGCTAAAAGGTTGATACGGATCTACGATTTTGATAAAAAACTTATATATGAAATTTCATCAACCTAGCTGTAACGGTACTCAAGTAATCGTGTTTACACACAGACACACAAACAGACAGACAGACAGACACACAGACATACGGACAGAATTGCAAAGCCCAGTTTTTCAGACTGGATTACGCATAAAACCTCTTAATTTTGATAAATCTGGAATGATAATTTTTGCACGATTAAAATAAGTCCTATATACTTCGGATATGATGAAGGATTGAGGTGTAATACGGTGAAAACTGTTAAAATTTCAAGTGATTTTTGTGCACGATTACAATACTTTCTCTATACTTCGTATATACGAGAAAGTAAAAATGTGAATTGTATTTGAAAATATATAATGACTTTTAAATAAAATTACTGTTGAAAACAAAAAATAGTCCAGTTTAATTTATAGCACGTTAAGAACTAAATACTTATGCGTGTACACCTCCGTTTTTAATTTGGATCTATTTATTGTTGTGGAATTGTACTTTAATATTGAATTGGAAATATTTAATAAATAGCCAAAGTATCGTTGGTTGTACATTGTTTTCGTAAAACTGAAGTTACTTCAAATATTCCCAGACATGATTCAAAGGCGCAGTTTTGCAACAGCACACTGTGTACACTCAAATCACGAGAAGTAAAATAATTTAACCAATTGCATTTAAATACCCCGAGAATTGATCTAGACGGATAAGTCGTCTATAAACAAAGACATTTTTAAATCAACTCGAAGGAAATGAAGATGCGACAAAAAAACAAATGAAATTCTGTAAGAGTATATAACTCAATTGTTGTTACTGTCTAGAAAACACATAAACAAAAATGTTATTTTCTAAGGACATCTAAAAATAATTAATAAAAAAGAAATGTTAAACTTCTTTTCGGGTAGATGATTTGTCTATTTAGAACAAAAGGCTTTGTTGTTTTTTTTTTGGGGGGGGGGGGGGGGGTTAAATAGTTTTGGGGGCGTACGGCGTAAGAGCTTAAGTCTAGACAGTCAGACGTTAGAACATAAAAGGTTTCTAGAATGATTTATTTTTTTTCTGACATTTTTTTCTCCGGGGGGAAGGGTTAAAATTTTCCGAGGTGGGGGGGGGGGGGGCGGACTAAAATTTTCAGGGGACGGACACTGTTAAAAATGTTTCTATATAAATTCTATTTCGTTTGGGGTGGAGGGGGGGATGGGTCAGTAGACTTTCTTGAGATGTCTGGAAGAAACTCTGGATAGATCGTGTTTTAAAGTCTGACTAATCGGCTATGTGAGCTACAAATGTGTTATACCCGAAAGGGTGCTCATCTGCTCCGTTATGAAAAACAAATCGTATTTTTAATTTCTATTTATTTGAGTGTGTATGCACATGATATTGTTACTTGCATAGTTATCAACAAGTAGATTGTGTGTAGTTGCTTGTTTATTGCTATCGTGTGTTGTTTATTTATATAGCTTCTATCACATTTTAACCTTGTATACAGGAGACTTTCGGGAAACGAACTTGTTCTCGTGTGCGAAGCAGTCTGACCCGTATCAAGTCTAGACCCGTGCAATCCAAAAATCACGTCCAGACCCGAGCGACCTGCATCACTTCTAGACCCGAGCGACCTGCATCACGTCTAGACCCGAGCGACCTGCATCACGTCTAGACCCGAGCGACCCGCATCACGTCTAGACCCGAGCGACCCGCATCACGTCTAGACCCGTGCGACCCAAAATCACGGGTAGACCCATCTAATCCTTAGATTTAGACTTCTGCGACACAACTAGATATAAACCCGAGCCCCACATCACTTGTAGACCCAGATGACCCACATCACGGCTAAACCTGTGCAACCCACATCACGTAAAGACCCGTGGGACCCAATTAGATGTCCCACATCACACGTAGACCCAGTGGACCCAAATCACGACTAAACCCAAAATCACCAGTAAACTTTTTTAGGAACAACAACTTATGTACTCCGAATGTCGACAACCACGTTAGCCATATGGTTATATCAGCCATATCAGCACACGTTCAAAGTTTAATGTTGTTGTTTCAACTTTGTTTTATCAGAGAGCATAAATGTACACAACTTTTGCTGATCAAGGATTGGCCACCAATTGTGCTGCAATCGTATGTCAGTGCAAATACATTTTGAGAACCTGATATCAGTAGATAACGTTGTTATGTATAGTATATAAGATCGGAGAAGTTCATATACGATTTGAAAGTCCAGTTAATGTAAGATTTAAGTGTTGACAATGTTGACATGTGTGCTATCTGCTGTTGCATTCTTAGGAGCTGTTGTTACAGGTGGGTATTTTTGTACAAGCTTCTATACTTAGTTCACGCCGTCTGTTTGTGGGTTTAAGGCAAATCTTGGAGCTAATTTTTGACCATTTGTAATCAGCGATTTTGTTCGAAATTTTCAGCTACGTTCTTCTTCGAGTGCAAAGAATATCAGTTTTTAAAAATTTATTACGAGAGACCATTTAATTTAAAAACTACTATATTGAAATTAAATTGGAGACAACAAGGTAAAATACTAGATGGCGATCGCATGTTCAGAGGGCCATCACTTCACGGTTGGCGGATTTTAAGATAACGAAGTTTTGGAGATCACAAGCTTCTGATCCGGTATAAGGCAAATACTTGTAGTCTTAGCTGCAGTGTCATCCAAGCCGAATATTTACTCTCTTAGAGCCGAATGAAGTTAGAAACGGCTATTAGAAGTTTGTTGGGGGGGGGAGGGTTATTTTGTCTTAGATTAATTAATTGTTTACATGATATCTTTTGTACGTGACATATTTTTGTGTGAGATATCTTGTCTGAGATAATTTGACTTGGACCATATATATATATATATATATATATATATATATATATATATATATATATATATATATATATATATATATATATATATATAAAGGATATACGAAAATTTTCGAAACATGCTTGCCCAAATGCCGTTTGCCCGAAGGCCGATTTCCCGAAAGGACACTTGCCGGAATGCGACAACTGCCCGAATGGACACTTGCCCGAATACGACAAATGCCCGAAATTTTTTGTGCAAACGGCCTTCGGGCAAATGGCATTTGGGCGTTTGTCGCATTCGGGCAAGTATCCATTCGGGCATTTGTCGCGTTCGGGCAAGTGTCCATTCGGGCATTTGTCGCATTCCGGCAAGTGTCCATTCGGGCAATTCGGGAAAACGTCCGGCTCCCATATATAAATTTTTAAATAAATAAATAAATATATATATATATATATATATATATATATATATATATATATATATATATATATATATATATATATATATATATATTCCTATACATGTGTATACAATGAGAGAAAAATTGATAGATATATTTTTTGCACTCTCAGGAATTCATTTTCAAGCTTCCCCAAACATCGTTGTTGTCGGGGTAACAAGGTATCTTGAACTAAAATGTGGGACAACTAGGGGAGAAGACTCCAGCATTGAAAGTCTGATCTCAATAATTATTTCACGAACAGCTAACCCACAAGACACAACTTTCAAAGAGCTGGCGTCACTGACCATGTTCACTCCAGAAGTTCAGATAACGGATGTATCGGAAGTTAATTTAATATCTTCAGGCAACATTGACAACAACGGTGAGTCATACATCAGACTTGTTTGGGAATTCCCAGGAGCCGATAAAGCAGGGAATTACAAATGTGATGTCAACGGAGTGGACCACATTGGACACCCTATTTATTTTAATTCGGCGGTTATGATATCATCCAGGCACCCTGATGTTGAAACGGTTGCTGCACAAATAAAAAATCTGACACTACTCGTGGAAAACGTCAACAGTTATATGAATCTCCTAAAGGATGAAGAAATTCTCTTGAAAGTCAGAAAATGGGACGAACGAATTGAAGCGGCGAAACATTCATTTTTTACAATATCTGAAGCTTATGACGGCCGTAGGTATTACCTGTCAAAACTAAATCGCCTTCAGGTAGCTGAAGACGCCGAGGCAATGTGTAAGCTGTTTGGGGGTTACCTGACTGAAGTAGATTCATTTCAAGAACACGAGTTCATTATTCAGTTTTTGACAAAGTTTGCTAGTGTTGGTTACTATACTATCCTAACTGGAGGTACAGACGAGGCCCATGAAAATGTATGGATAAATAGACGCAACAACACACCAGTTGCGTACATAAAATGGGGGATTCACCAACCGGATGGAGCAACCACATCAAACTGTTTAGTTCTCTATTCTCCAAATTGGTATATGGCAGATTATCCGTGCTCTCTTTTTGAGAATTCTTTTTCTACGGGTTATCTTTGTGAGATTCCTGATAAGTAAATAAATTTATGTTAGAATGTTAACAGACTATTATTACCAAAAAGGTTTACGTGAAATAAAACATTGAATGTAAAATAGCACGTTTTAGCGTTATACTTTAATGTTCCGTACATAATTATGTTCCAATTTTAAAAGAAAAATGTTATATTAAACAATTTTTTTCTTTACATTTATTTTGCACGAGGCACTATAACATTTTCATATATAAGTATTATATCGAGTTCCACTTGATACAGAGCTACACATTTGATCTAATACTTATTTATGAAATGTAATCAACCTAGTTGTAACGTGATCTAATACTTATTTATGAAATGTAATCAACCTAGTTGTAACGGTACTCAAGTTATAGTGTTCACAGACACACATACACACATACATACACACGCATACACACATACACACCCACAGACATACGGACAAAATTGCAAAACTATGTTTTTCCGACTCAGGGATGGATAAAACGTCGAGAAATGTTAAAATCTCGATTTTTTTGCAAGATTTCAATACTTCCTCTATACTTTGTAAAAATGGATTTAAAACCATGTCTATATCCCGAATTGCCATCGCCCGTACTGTTATATAAGAATAGCCATGAAAGTTTAGTGGAGATCACTCCTTGTTTATTCAGTTAGGACAGGGGTCGGCAACCTGCGGCTCGCGAGCCGAATGCGGTTCTTTTGATATCAAGATGCGGCTCGCCAGCTCCTTGAACAAATACTAATAATCTTAATAAAAAAAATATTTGAAAAAAAAATGTTAGTGGCTCTTTAAAACCAGGGAAATTTTGAAAATTGTAACTTTTGGCTCTTCCGCTTCAAAAGGTTGCCGACCCCTGAGTTAGGACATTTCCCTTTTGTTTTTAAAGAGTTTTGTGTCGGGGGAGGGGGGGGGGGCGTCAATAAATGACGTCACACTCGTAGGGGGGAGGGAGTCAGTAATTTTGTAACGGTATGTGATGAGGGGGAATGGGGAATTCAGATTGTGTGACGTCACACTTTTTATTATAAAACAACAAAGTTTCAAAACTAACTTTAGCCGTTTTTTCTTGCTTTAGAAAACTGTTTTAATAAATTGCAATAGGAGTTGATTAAAAAAAATCTATGTTGACAGAGTACAGACAAGATTTGGGAAAAATATCGCTGTTTTATGAAAAATTCAACTTCAATTTTGAGTGAGGAGGGGGGTGAGATGGGGGGCTTAGGTGTGTAGTCATTTTAGGGGGTTCTGGCTTTTACGATGTGTAACGGAGGGGAGGGGGTAAGGTAACAATCGTCAAAAAAGGATGTCGTAATTTATGGATGACACCTTGGAAAAGAAAAATGTATTTTTTAATTACAAATGTATAATATATACAAAAGAAACAATAATGTGAATGTATTAAAATTGGTTTATTAAATCAATTTACTGCACTTACTTGTTACACGCTTAGTGCTCCATTTCTAAACTTAATGGAACTTAAACTAAAAATGCAGTCATATATTTTTTAATGTAACTTCTTAAATTATTTATTTGTTATTTCTATTTCGTTTTACGTTGCGACAATGTTCGATTGGACTCGTTTTACATAGTTCGATAATATGAAGCAATTCATGTTTGTATTCATTATATTTTGTACTAATTAAAGGCATCGAGTAATAAGCTTGGACGTTATAAAAGAATGTAACAAAAAATGGGGCGGTAGTTTCGGGTTTAGGAAAATGATTCATTTGGGGCTAAAAGGCTTCTTAAGTATGGGCAGAGTTTCTTCCAGGCATCTCTTCGGGGGGGCTTTGTCCCCCCCGAAAAATTTTTACCGCCCCCCCCCCCCCCCCCGAACGAAATGAAATTTATATAATTTATATAGAAAATATATACTTTTAACAGTGTCCGCCCCCCCCCCCCCCCCCCCCCCGAAGAAAGTTTACCGCCCCCCCCCCCCCCCCGAAGATTTCAAGTGCCCTCCCGGAGAAAAAAGTCTGGAAGAAACACTGAGTATGGGGTTGATGTAATGATATGTTGGATGGTAATGTGCAAAACCGCCAACGGGGTTATGCTGTGTTATTTCCCAACTAAGGGCTTCAACGACAAATCAGAATACCTCAAGACAGCTTAGACTATTTTGGAGTTGTTAATCAACTTATGCATTTTTTAAATCTTTATAGTCATTCTTTGTGAAATGAAAAATCTTTAAAAGATCTAGCTTAAAATATTAAGTATTACTTTTGTTTAACCAGATTTTTATGTTTGCAATAAGGCGAGCTAATCCAGAAGATAAAAAACTGATAACAACCACTTAAAAGGAATATAATTACTTTAAGATAGTTAGGTAAAAAAAACACTTCATATGCTGTTTAACATTTGTGTGAAATGTACCTATACCAAAGATCTGCCCATTTGAAAACTGAAATGTTGAACACCTGCCTGATACTGCTGACAGTGGCTGCCACCACAGGTATCTGATTTTATTTTAAAGGGAAAATAATTTTTAAAAAAACATTATAATAACAAGCTTTTATTTAATAACTAGGCATGCTGCCCAGCTTCGCTTAGGCTTTCGAAAACATTGAGAATTTGAATGCTTAATTAATTCGCCCGAGGGTCGGTCTACGACCTCAGGAGTTATGAAGAGGTTCCTCATATAAGGCGCCGGTCATTCGAGGTCAGTTTTGACCCCATCATCGTAGACTTTTCGGCCAACCGGCCCCCGTGTTCTGTCGCCCCAAGGCAAGATCCTGCCAAATTTGAAGCGCCTGCGGCGCCGGGAAGTGCCCTATCGGACACCTGACAACTTTGCTTTATATATTATAGAGATTAGCAAATTGCAAAGATAAACAAAGATTTCAATAAAGTAATTAAGGCCTGAAATACTTTAGTATAGAAATGTATTGTTCGAATAGATTCTAGATCTAGGTAGGGTCTACATCTGTGTAAGTCTAGTTTTTCCGTAGATCTAGATCATGTAGATCTAGATCTAGAATCCTAATAGAATTTTTTTTTTAAGTTTAGCCCGAGCAAAATAAAAAAAAAAAAAGATTAACCAAGTTGACTTGGGGCGTCTCGAACCCGCACCACCTGCGTGGGTTTAAGTACACTATCATCTCCGGAGAATAAAAGACGTTTTTAAAATCTTAACTTACGCGAATATGCCTATTCTTTCAAATTAATTTTTTTTATCCCAAATTAGCCAGTTCCAAACAAAGATTTTGTATAAAATAATTATGTCTTGAAATATTTAGTCCTAATATAGAAATTTATTTTTGGAATAGATTATAGAGAAGTTAGAGTCTAAATCTAGATTTTAGCGTTTACGTCTCGATCTAGTTATTGCGTAGATTTGTAGATTTAGATCTAGTCTAGATCTAGAATCTCTAGATCTAGAATCCAAATAAATAAAATAAATTTTATGAGTTTAGGCCGGAAAAAATTGTATTGTGTACATTTCATAGTGTAGGCCAGGGGTCTCCAAACTTTTCAGTCCGAGGGCCGCATTAACTATAAAATTTCAGTTCGGGGGCCAGGTTCTTTCAGGCATGTATTTGATTTTTCTGGGCAAAGTTCCTCAGCCATCACCAACAAACGTTTTTCTCTGTGGACAAAAAGATCTCCGCGGGCCGGATGAGAGGACATCGCGGGCCGCATCCGGCCCGCGGGCCGTAGTTTGGAGACCCCTGGTGTAGGCCTACGTAGATCTGAATCAAATTTGAATGAAATAGTTCATTTCTTTTTATTCTAAAAACGGCAGATGACGTCATTAGTTAATGTATAAACATTAGTGACGTCACAGTTTTATGCGTTCTTTTTCACATCTATACATGCTTTTCCGGTTGCATAAATAATACTGTTTCTCTTCATTCGAATACGCCTTTATTTTTTATTTTTCTTCTTTAAATAAAATTGTGGTTATACATTTAAAACATCTAGCATATTATTTTCAACAAAAGTCCGTATAAAGGTATCCATATATCGCTGCCGATTCTGACGTGATGTCCGGCGAAAATATTTTGCGGACAGACAGAGATAGAGAGAGAGAGAGAGAGAGAGGTGCGAACGTGGGGTTTTATATATTAGGATGCACTCAAAAGGAGAAAAAAATATACACTATTATTTAAAAAACTATAAAGAATAGCGTGGGTCACTTTAGTATCTACTAGATACTTTTACTAATATTTAGGAAGAGACTCACGCTTTTCTTTATAGTTGTTTAAATAGTCTCCCTTTTAGTGCATTATTACATAAAAGCTTATTATCAAAACGTTTTTTTATTGATTTTTATAGTACTTTACATGCTTTTTTTTACAATAAAGTTATATGACTAAAAACCATTGCGCACCCTTTGAACGTGATGACGCGTGTGGAGTATTTGGATAGGCCTGCCTATTAATTTGGTCAATTATTTAATTAATTCATAAAAAATTAATCATGCGACAAATTAAGTAAAATTGAATGTCATGATGCATTGTCTTCATGTGTTGACCCACGTACCAACTACGAACCGAATCTATCAGGAAGATGTTCCTGCAATTTCGCTCGGGCGTTTCGATATAGACATACTGACGACAGACTGACGACAGACTGACGACAGACTGACGACAGACTGACGACAGACTTACAACAGACTGACGACAGACTGACGACAGACTGACGACAGACAAACGACAGATTGACGACAGACTGACGACAGACTGACGACAGACTGACGAGGAAGTGAGTTAAATAAAAGCTTGTAAAAATAGTCAAGCCATTAGATGTTACATATTCAATACGAACATACATAAACACACACACATGCAAGTATGGTCGAATAAACACGTAGATCTATATACTATTTTAAACTATCATAACTTCTCATATTTTATCTACACAAACAAATGTCCTGTATTATACTTTTTTTTAAAATCCATTATAAATTTTGACTTTTTTATTTTTTAAAGTATTGATTTCAATTTGTTTTCCTTCTATGATTAACAATCGTTTGGATAAAAATGTAAAGTACTATAAACTATTTTCAGTACTTGGGCTGGATATACAAGCCGCGCCCACTAAAGTGGATATTGGTGTCACCAGGTACCTGACCATCAAATGTCTGGCACCAAAAGAGAGCTCATCGTCCATGGAGAGCCTGATCTCTTTGGTCATCTCTAGATCCGACGGTCCCCAAAATGCCATTTTCAAAGAACTCGCTTCCATTAATGTTTTTCATGTAGACGGTCAGGTTATCCAAAACACAAATGAAATCGAAACGTCAGAAGGAAAAATTGACAATGACGGTCTTTCATACTTAACTCTTGTTTGGGAATTCCCGGACACAAACAAAGCCGGTGTGTACATGTGTTTAGCTAACGGTGTGGATTTTTCCGGTCATCCTTTTGTTATAAACACAACCGTCACCGTACAGTCGGCTTATCCTGGAGTTGACACAATAGTAAACCAAGTCAGAAACTTGACCCTGCAAGTAGAGCAAATGAACATTTTATTAAATGGTGTTGAAAACTTTCGAGAAATGTGGGTTGGCCGTTTACAGCGAATGAAAAGTGTTATATTTAGCTACAATACTTTCCACAACGGCCATCGCTATTATCTATCTCACGCACACGGTGTAGTTATCGTACACGAAGCAGCAGCTGTTTGTGAAATGTTTGGTGGTTATTTGGTAGAGATTGACTCCGCAGAAGAATATGCGTTTCTTAAAAGTTTTCTGAACAACCATACAAATTTTAGATGGGTGTTTACTGGCGTTAACGATGAACAGACTGACAACCAGTGGATCAACACACACGCTGGCAGTGTTGCTTCAAGCTACTTCCAATTTTATACTGGAGAACCAAACGGCGGTCGTACAGAAAATTGCCTAGGGTTTTTTCAGGGTTATCCAGTACAGATGACAGATCTCCCGTGTACCTATAAGCGGGATATTTTTGATTTAGGCTTTATGTGCGAAATTGTTGAGTAAATATATTGAAACCATATGCAATCTTCACGCAGTAGTATTACTATATTGTGTTTTGTATTATTCGTTCGATATTGTGTTGCATTCTTTTTCCGTGATTTATTTTTTTGCATGTAATGGTGTCATGTGTTTTGTATTATTCGTTATATATTGTACGAGCTGACCCGCGCCGTAAGCATACGTTGTTTTATGTTCTACTTTTCAGTGAATCATAATTTGTGAATTCGACACTACCCTCTCCCCCCCCCACCATCCCCCGTGAAGGCAGCCGTCTGTGACGACAGTTTACAGACGACAATGAAAAGATTAAGCAGAACTTCTTACCTCCAGAGGCGTAGCGACCTTTCCCGGCGCCCGGGGACAAACTTTTCGATTTGCACCCCCCTCAAAATTTTCATTTGCACCCCCCCCCTCAAACTTTCAATTTGGCGCCCCCTCTAAGGTCGGTGCCCGCTGACATATGTCCCCCCCCCCCCGCCCCCCCCCCCCCTCGCTACGCCTCTGTTTACCTCTCCTTAGTTTCAAATTGTTTAAAATCTAAATTATCTGCCCCTAATAGCTGTCATATTGTAAACATTCGGGGTGAACCACAGCTGCCTAGACCAGGGGTCGGCAACCTTTTGAAGCCGAAGAGCCAAAAGTTATAATTTTCGAAATTTCCCTGGTTTTAAAGAGCCACTAACATTTTTTTTGTTTCAAATATTTTATTTTTTTATTAAGATTATTAGTATTTGTTCAAGGAGCTGGAGAGCCGCATCTTGATATCAAAAGAGCCGCATGCGGCTCGCGAGCCGCAGGTTGCCGACCCCTGGCCTAGACTGTTGGGGTGGGGGTGGTAGCGATCTGCCTAGAGAGCAGGGTAGGAACGGCTAAGCCTTAACCCTATATGGCATAGCGTTGCAGTTTTGCAACAATACTTTAGGAGTAATCAATTACTGTACTATTTAATATTTTGTTTTGTTTTCAACTTATTTTACTCCGGATAGCACTTTTTAATACATTTTATACCGGAACTCTTTTGAAAAGAAGATTTTCTTTTTAAAATCGGCCATTTTTAGAAGCGATCTACACTTTTCTGCTTTTTGCTAAAAGGTAAGTATAAAATTACGTTAAAACCTGGTTAAAATTATAATAAACTAGCTGAAAAAAATATATTTACAATAATAACTATGCATTAGTACTAATTTAGTTGATTCACAATAAAATTCTTATTATTTTATTAGTAAGAGCTAGGTTTTGTATTGTTGCAGTAATGCAACTACATGCAACGGAATAAATAAAAATGGCTGCTCTGAGCTAGACTTTAGTTTGCTTGGTAATTATTTCTACACACAAAATAGTTTATTTTATGATGTGAAATACATTTAGTGTTGTGGTATATTATTTATAACTACTAGATCTAGTTTTTGCCTATAATAATCATAATAAATTATAACCTAACAATAGTTTTATTAGTTTTATAGTTTTATTTATTATATAATTATATAATATTTATCGCTAAGAGCTAGGCTAATGAATAGGGCCTAACCTTTTGTTTTTATTTTATTAGGCTTTCACATATTCGTAACCATGGATCCAAGAGTCTAAGTTGAAAGTCTTCTACCATTTTATTCTGAGCTACTCCTTTTGGCTCAAAAGATAGTGAGTTGTCCAATGATGAAATAGAGAAAGTAAACAGTACCCGGGACCTATCGGATGTTGGTGATGAAGATTTGTCTGACGCAGTTGAAGGTAACATATTATTATTGCATACTTTAAAGGTTTGCTTGTAGATTAGTAAAGCATTTATTGTTTTGTATACAATTATTGCATAATTTATAACCAAATAATGTTCTCAAAATGTATTTCTACAGAGTATGCCCATTTGCGAAAAATGATGAAACTCCTCAGGACCTTCTCAATTGTCTACACCAAGGTCTTCATTAGCAACAACAGAATGATCAGTCCCAGTAAACAGCAAATGTTCCACCATTTCCTGATCCTAGGAGAGAAGCCAAACATCAGAGGCGGCCATTGGATTATTTCAACGACATCTTTATAGATAATCTGTGTTCGGACAGTTGTGTATCAATCCAACCTGTACTGTCCTCTAACATGACATCAACAGTCCTTTAGCACTGGATAAAGATTATTCCTGGAAATTAGATTTTACATAAACATTGTAAAAAATTCCTAAATGCCGAGTGTATTGGAGCCTTGCCACTAAGTGTGTTACGGTCACATACGTCATGACCATCAACAGATTCAAGCGGATAAAGAATAATCTGCACCTGTCGTACAATGTCCTCAACAGGACAAACAATCCATTAACACTGAATAAGAATGAGCTAAAACATTTCCTAGAAATTGTGTGTATTACATAAAGATTCTAAAAACTCTTAGATGCAGAGTGTATTGGAGCCTTGCCACCAAGTGTGTTACAGTCACATACGTCATGACCATCAACAGATTCAAGCGGAATAAGAATAATCTGAACCTGTCAAACAATGTCCTCAGCAGGACATAAACAATCCACTAGTACTGGATAAAGATGAACAAAAACATCTCCTGGAAATTGTGTTTTACATAAACATTGTAAAAAAAATTCTAGATACCAAAGATCTTGGTGCCTTGCCACCTAATGTGTTACTGTCACAGACATAACCATCAATAGATTTGAGTGGATTAAGATTAAGCTACACCTGTCAAACAATGTTCAAAGGGCAGAAGTTGACCAATATCGGAATTCTGTGCTTATCAAACCCCATGCCATCTGAGATTCTAAGTATTCATGAGCAAATCGACCCATTCACATATCGTAGGCAAAAGCAGTCCAACCTACAACCATAGAAAGCCATATAGATGGGCTACAAAGTTTTTGTTGTGTCCAACAACTTGTATAATCCAAGATTTTGAAGTGCATTCGGGTAAAGCTACAAAAGGACAAGATGACAAAGTGCTGTTGCTAATATTGAGCGGACATTATTACAGAGTGTTCCCCAATATGTTGGGCTCAAGATTTACATAGACAATATCATTTAGTTCATCATTTAGTTGCAGGTTGTCCTGCAACAACAATGCACAGAAGTTTTTATTTGCTGTAGCAAAAAAAAAAAAATGCTAATAAACTTTTTACTAAATAAACCTGCATGTAATTTTTCAGTTGTTTTTTTCTCTTTCAGTGTACATGATTTTACTGTTCTTTTCATCATAAATAAACTTACATGTTACTATTGTTACTCTCAAATGATTTGTACAAGTTATTTACATTTATATCAACAATTCTATATAAATATTTTTTTTTCTTATTATGGAAAAAAAGTTTGACCCTTGCGCATAGTTGCAGAATTGCAACGACCAAAATTGTTGTGATATTAATCATCTATTCAAAAAAAAATTCGCTACATCTCAAGTTAGTCCATTTGCTGTAGAAATATGAAGTCAAAAAATTTTTACCAAGTAAACCAATAATTCATGCAATAAAGGGTTAATGGCGATGGTGTCTCACACGGTCCCCACGTAGATAATTATGTAAAATATAGATTGTACTTTCTGTGTTTTGTTTCGTGCTAACGTGTTTTTTTTTAATTTTATACGGGGAGTAGGAATTGTATGCAGCTATAAAAAAATTTAAAAAAGTAAACAAATATGTACATTGCTGATCTAATTGTTATGAAACATTGTGGTGCTTTTCTGTATTTTATAAAATTTGGTTTTGTATTAAATTGTGTGTAAGAAAATAATAAATAATGTGGACTGTGTTACGTGTTGTTAATGTTGTATTGATTGCGCTAGCAGTCTACCTTTTCCAAGACATAGTAGTGGGAGATTCGGTTTTGTCGTCTTTTTTTCTGTAAAATAAGTTGTCCATATATGTTGTATGTGTTAGATGAGATAATATCAACAAAACCCTGTTGCAAATATAACGAGAGTGATCTCCCCAAAACTTTCACGACTATTCGTAGACAACATTAATTGGGATGGCAAATCAGGTTCAGTCAGAATATAGACATTTTAAAAAATCGTTTTTAAATACTTATTTTTTAAAGGGGTTAAGCTCCGGGAAAAAATGGAAAAAAATACACTTTAATTAATAAGCAGGGGCGGAACTACCATACCGCCAGACCCCGCAATGCGGGGGGGCCCAGGACGTTTAGGGGCCCAGTTCCGACCAAAAAACAATGAATTTTATTTTCAAAAATTATGTTTTTCATGCATCTTGAAAGTGGTTTTGTAAAAAAAAAACAAAAAAAAACAGGTCTACTATAGCAGAGATTGTTGCGTAAAAAATATTTTAAAATCTACAAGAGCTATAGTTTGAAAGGTAGGCAAACCTTCACACTACTTCCATGACTTACTGCCCTTCTTTAAAATAGGGATGCCCACGATGCAGGTCGTTTAGGGGCCCAAAGCCGACCGTAAAAAAATTTTTTTATAATTAAAAAAAAAATTTTCTTGAAAAAAACAAACAGATCTACTACAGTAGTGATGTTCTACAGTAGCCAACACAAGCTGTTTCGTAAAGGAAAAAAATATAAATGCTACATGAGTTCAAACCACTTCCATGACTTATTTCCCTTTTTTAAATTGCCAAATATGTGTGTTCTTAAGAAACTTTTAATAGATTTGCACTAAACAAATTAAAAAGCAATTACTTTACTTAATTATTATTATTTTTTAAAATACATAATAAAGAATGGTATAGCATCAACAGGAAATGTATTTAAAACTAATAATATAAATACAAAAAAAAACAACATAAAAATAATCATAAGGCGAGAAACCATTACAAATACAAAGCTTTAACACTTCATATTCTTTTGACCGACTCATAGTTTAAGAATCATTATGCCAGCCATTAAAACAGAGAATTTCAAAATTAGACTAATAGCACTCACACAAATGATGTGTTGTTGTAACATGTTTTATTTAAAAAAAAAATTCAAATTTCAAACAAGCCCGAATTGAGTATTCTATGTAGGCCTACGTATTTTCATATATAAATAAATAAATAAATAAATAAATATATATATATATATATATATATATATATATATATATATATATATATATATATATATATATATATATATATATATATATATGGGGCCCAAAAATATTTTTTTGCGGGGTGGCCCTCTTTTTCTAGCTCCGCCACTGTTAATAAGCCATTTTTTAAAATTTGTTTGTGTATGTGTAAGTTAGAGTACTTAAGGGAAAATATTTCTGAAAATATGATTGCCATTGCTATGGCGGCCATCTTGGTAAAAGTGCCATCTGTGGAGTTCTAAGATTTCATAAAGTAATATAGAAACCGCCCATATAATCATTGATACTTCTTGTACTAACACTAATAGAGTCAACTGGCTAGATTTTGTAACAGAAAAAAACCTATAATTTGTTTTTTCCAACTTTTGTTGACTTATTACATTTTGAAAGATATTTATGACAATGACAAAAATCCTTGAAAACGATATAAATTTATTTTAGCCGTATATCACATAACCTTACTTTTAGTAGATTAGAAAAATGACCCATTAAACATATAACAAATTACGGATACCATATCAGTAAAAAAAGAAAAGTAATATTGTTGAATTAAAGCTAAACTACTTAAGCACATTCAAATGTACAACTATTATTTTATGGTGTCAGCCACCCTCCTCCACACACACATACACTTCCATACAAACACACAAACTTATTGGTTGCTGAATAATAATTTTCTTGATCAAAGATATACAGATTTAAAATTTTCCTATGTGGTTTTAACGCAATTCACTTCGGTGGACGTTATATTTGATATCACTCCCTAACGTAAATTTCATGCAAACTAATCGACCGAGAAAAAAAGCATTTAGTGGCCTAACTTAAACACAGTAATTCAAGTGTAAAAATAATTGTTTTTGTAGTTAATTATTAAATTTGGTGTCAACCCCAAACCCCAGAATGGATTGACGAATCAGTTATTACTATTCTCAACAAAAACTTTCTCCTCTGGCAAATTTTGCAACGCATTGTGGTGGCCCCAAACGCCGTTCAGTGATAGCTTTAAACTATGCACAAATAATACTAACGATGGTTAACTATAGTCGTTCATTAATACAGCTGGATGTAGGATTGTTTTCTCTGCCGTTAGCAAGTTTACGTCATGGTGTTACCCCTATCCACCCCCCCCCCCAAACACACACCCCTTGTCGCGATTTCTGAACTTTGACCTTCAAAGTCTACTTTACTCAGATTAATCATTTATTTAGCGGGAATGATAATTATTTGTCTATATATATGTTGCAGTTTTTGCCTTGGTGTTACCCCCCTAAATGTATTTCACCCGCACCTACGGTCCGCAAAATAAAAATGTGTTTGTTTTTATTTATTTGAAATATATAAGGCATCCTAACTGTACATACGTTTAAAAGCAAATTGTTCAATATTTTCTAAATTAAAATGTTCTGTGTAAACCAAATAATCACCGTAAAATGCTTAAAGTTCTTTACAAATTGTCTTTGTACTATCTCAAACAACTAAAGATATCACTGTTATGTTTGTCCTAATGAAAAATATCAAACGCCTAAACCGGATTTTATTTTTGCAACTAGGCGAGCGAGTCATGAAGATACAAAACTGATAACAACCACTTTGGAAAAGTATAATTACTTCAGATAGCATATCCTGTTTGAAACGTTTGTAACTTGTCTCTTTAGCAAAGATCTGGCCATTTGAAAACTGAAATGTTGAACACCTGTCTGATACTGCTGACAGTGGCTACCACCACAGGTATCTGATTTTAGTTTAAATAAAAAATAGTCATGCATTTATAAGTCACATTAGGAACATGTATACACATAAACACAAACAAACTCATGAGAACGATTAGATCTATACAAGCCTACAGTTGTCTTGTTTCTTCTTCTTCGTTCTTAATTATTAGTGTTGAAGGGGATCGAGATTTATCTGCCAGTGGGTTTGAACTCGAGACTTTGTTCGAATTTATCAACCATGAGCTTTTTGCCGACTCGACCACGCCTCCAACACAATTAAGCGTTACGTGTCAACTGGTTATGCGCCATTGAGGCCATTGACTCCGATTTCAGCCTGCTTTTCTTTTTGGATTTGCTTCCATAGCCTTTGTCCAACCAAGAACAAACTACAAGGCAGCAGTTGTTTAATTTTGGAGTTGTCTCTCCTAGAAGAGTGGCTGTCCCCAGCTAACGAGCCTCATCTGCCCGAGGGTTCGAACTCGAGACTTTTCGGTTTAGCAACCTACAGTTGTAAACTACTATAATTTATAATGTTGATATGTAAACAATAAAATTTCCTGTATTATATTTTGAAACTCTTTAGATATTTTCATTTTTCATTTTGATTTTTAAATAATATTTATTACTTGTTTTACTTTTATGAATAACACTCCTTTTAAAAAATTAAATTATTATGAATGATTTTCAGTTGTGGGCCTAAATATAGAAGCCACGCCTAGAACAGTGGAACCTGGGGTCACCAGGTACCTGACCATCAAATGTCTGGCACCAAAAGAGAGCACATCGTCCATGGAGAGCCTGATCTCGTTGGTCATCTCTAGATCAGACGGTCCCCAAAATGCCATTTTCAAAGAACTCGCGTCAATTAACGTTTTTCATGTAGACGGTCAGGTCATCCACAACGTCAAAGACAACGAAACATCGGAAGGGAAAATTGACAACAACGGTCTTTCATACTTGACTCTAGTGTGGGAATTCCCGGACACAAACAAAGCCGGAATGTATATGTGTCAAGCTAATGGTGTGGATTTTTCCGGTCATCCTGTTGTTATAAATACTACAGTCACCATTCAGTCGGCTTATCCTGGAGTGGACACAATAGTAAAACAAGTCAGAAACTTGACCATTCAAGTTGAGCAAATGAACATTTTACTAAACGGTGTTGAAAACTTCAGAGAAATGTGGATTGATCGTTTAAAGAGAATGAAAAGTGTTATATTTAGCTCGAATTCGTTCTTCAATGGTCATCGCTATTATTTATCTCACGCACACGATACAATAATCGTACACGAAGTATCAGCTGTCTGCGAAATGTTTGGTGGTTATTTGGTTGAAATAGACTCCACAGATGAATTTACATTTCTGGGTACATTTCTGAATAACCATACAGAATTCAAATGGGTGTTTACTGGCGTTAATGATGAACAAATTGAAAACCAATGGGTCAACAAGAATGCAGGCACTGTAGCTTCAAGTTACTTTCAGTTTTATCCTGGTGAACCCAACGGCGGTCGTGGAGAGAACTGTTTGAGTGTAGACCACAGTAGTGGATGGTCGATGATTGATCTTCCATGTATCTTTAAATGGATTGCATTTGGGTTAGGTTTTATTTGCGAAATTCCAGAGTAAATATTTCGAAAGAAAGTAACCTTTCATGTTGTGTAGAAATAGTTGGTTTGTATTTTGTTTGTTACTGTTTTATTTTATTAGATATATTACGTCTTGTACTTTTTTGTGGTTTGTGTTTTAGCCGAATTAAATAAACCGAGAGTGATCTTCTCTAAACTTTCTCGAATATTCTTTTGGTTGAGCTTTGGTGTCATCTATAAATGACGTCACACTCGTAGAGGGGAGGGAGGGTCCGTAATTTTGTGACGATGTGTGATGAGGGGGAGGGGTGGAGGTTCAGATATTGCGACGTCACATTTTTGCATTATAAAAAAGCAATGTTAGAAAACGAATTTTAGACGTTATTTCGCGTTTTAGATAAATGTTTTAATAAATTGTAATAGTTAAGACAAGGTTTTGAAAAAATATCGATGTTAAAAAAAAATTCAACTGCAATTTTGAGAGGGGTTGTAGGTTGAGGTGTGACTTCATTTTAGGGGGGTCTGGCTTTTTGTGACGACGTGTGACGGAGGGGAGGGGGGAGGTAAAAATCGTCAAAAAAGCGTGACGTCATTTATGGATGACCTCTTTTTTCCGTTGCGCATCTTTCTGGTCACCTATTCTTATATATCCCTTTGGGAGATGGCTACGCCGGACATAGACATGATTTTTAATCCATTTTTAATTACTTAAACTTTTAAAAATAGAATAGAATCTCATAGAATAAAAGAATTGCACACCAAGTGAATGGCAAACAATACGTGTATAATAGTGTGGAATGTTATTAGTACTTTATAAATTCATTTTCGTTTGTTTTTTAGAAATAAGAAATAATGGGGAAATAATCAACGGAAATTGATATATATATATATATATATATATATATATATATATATATATATATATATATATATATATATATATATATATATATATATATATATATATATATATAAAGGATAATGTGCAAGCCAATATTTTAACGAAAGGTAAAAGATTTTTTTAATTACGAATGCAAACAACCATGATGAATATCAACTTAACTAATTATATTTGAAACATAAATGAAATGCTTACAGTAATAGAATAGTTATTTGACTCTATGTGCTTAATCTCATCTTGTGAGCAATTAATCTATTGTTTTAAGTAATGCTTTCAGTATTTATCTAAATATTGTGGAAATAAATAAATGAAAGATAAACACAATATTTTTCTTGCTTGATTTAACATTGTGATTAAAGAGATATTTATATTACCAAATAATGTACTCGTTCATTAAAACAATTTTACATTAGATACGACTTAAATAGTTTCAAATGTTGTATTACAGAAAATATAAAAACCCCTTTTTTTATAAAGGAAAAGATAAAAATTCAGAACTTTCTTATACAATTTAATAAAGTAATAAAGCAGGGGAATGTGAATTTTTATTGTTTTACAATGCAATTAATCATGGTAACACCTAAATAATGGTTTTATAATCTTAAAGACTTCTCTATACATACATGTTATACGTCGAATTTAACATACAATTTAAATTGACTTCAAAATAGGAAATATTACAATAAACTCTAGCTAATGGTAATTATCCTCAGCGTTTCTTAGATGGTTTTGATAGTAAAAATATATCTGAAAATTATCCTCTAATTAAAAAGATATCATGATTTATAATTTAATCTACGTTTGAAGCAAGACAATTTCTATGCTATAAAACGAATATTTGATAGCATTGATAAAAAACTTTACGTTTGTGATATTGCCATTGCAAAGACGCTCTATTGGTTAATTTTGTAAAACTGTTATTTCCACTGACTTGTGAAAGCAAATTAAGAAAAAAAAAATACATTATACGGAAACTAGCAATGACTTATGTATCCATTACATTTAAACAGCACTAACTTGAGTGCTTACATTATTTTTTTCGAAGTTTTGAATAAATAAATGGAATACATTAAAAACAAGTTATGGTAGTAAAAACATTTTAGGTAATTAGTAGTTTAGATGTAAATACATAGGAAAAACAACGTTTCTTTTTTATAACAAAGATCTAATAAACGCTTTCAAAAGATAAATCATACATGTTTCTACAAGTTTCCTGCTGGAACTTCACACATATATCCTATATTATGTATTTTATGTAACTTGTAGCACATGTCATCCGCCATTTGCCAATTGTAATCACCCCATAAGTAAAGACAATATGCTAAAATGCCATTATTTGGTTCTCCACTAGCCCATTCTAAATACCCCACAGCACTGCCACTGTACCTATTTACCCATTGCCCTTCTACAGCTTCATCGGTACCTCCTGTTAGTATAATATAATAACTGGCATTAACTGTCATAAATTGTTGAACAAACTGAAATTCAGAAGAGGTATCTATTTCCACAAGATAACCACCGAACAACGAACAAATAGCTGCTGCAGTTTCTGGCGTAGTTGTCCATAACTTACTAGATAAAAGATAGTAGTGATCTTCAAATATAGAGGATTCGTTAAACAGTAAATATTTCATTGTTTCTAATCGTTTTCTGTGCAAAGATTTCGTACTTTTCAGATTACGTAGATTAATATTTATTTCATTTATTTGTGCTGTTAAGTTAAAGTTGTTTAATTCAAGCCTGGCATAGACGTTCTCAATGTAACTGGTCAAATACTGTACTTGTCTGACCAATGAATTTATATCTGGTTCAACAAATGACAGTAACTGTAGTTTATTCAAATTCACTGGGTGTCCTGCACGGTCCACTCCGTTAGCCTCACATCTGTAAATTCCAGAGATATTAGAATCTGGGAATTCCCAATTCAGTTTAATGTATGACAGACCGTTGTTGTCAATTTTACCAGAAGCTGTAACATCACTGACATCCAACATGACTTGATTGTCAGATGTGAAAACATTTATAGAAGCCAGTTCTGTGAATGACGATTGGTTGGTGCTTGACCTTGAGATGATCAATGAAATGAGACTGACCATCGTTGAGCCCGTGTTTACTGTTGTGGAACAGTTGACCTCTAACTTTTGTGTGATGCCAATCTCTAAAACTGCTGGAGTTACCGTAAGGGACAACCCGTATGCTGAAAAGGGAGAAACAATATATACTAATATGTAAAAAAATGTAAATAAAGTGAACATATACATATATATATATATATATATATATATATATATATATATATATATATATATATATATATATATATATATATATATATATATGTAGATTATTATATACTTACTCGAACTAAAAATCAGGCCCAATGTACATAATGATAGGTACAACATTTTGCTATAATGAATGTATTCTCGTTCAATTTGTTAACAACTGATTTGCCTTTATGTTTCGCTTAGATAAATTACTTGTTGCTGATCTTATCAAGATATAACTGCGCCAGTGATCCTCAACCTTTTACAAGTGGTTACATTTTAAATACTTTATTGTCATACTTTATTCTATACATCAATGAGACCATTTATCCGTTGTAGCAGTTAAAAAATAAAAATATGTTGTATGTTAACACGTTAAACAAATTGTTGAAATACCAAGAAATGTAAAACACGGAACAAAATTAAATAGGAAAACTCCAATTGATGTTTCTACCTATACAAATGAAAACATTAAAGATAGTTGATTTATATATTTTTTTAATGTAGGGATTTTTTTATCAGTAATGTATCAACTATATGTATATTTTGTTATACTATAGCAAAAACAGATATTTAGAGAAAAATTATATATAAATTTTATAGAAATGCATTAATTGACTTGTGTAAAAATAAATTACCGTTTTCAAGATTTAAATTTAAATTGTATATCTATGCAACTGTTTGTACGTTACCGAAGTGACGAGAATCTTTCCATCATTATTGTTTTGGTTTTTTACTTTCTCGTATATACGAAGTAAGCCTATAAAGAAGTCTTGTAATCGTGCAAAAAAAAATCGAGATTTTTACAAATTTCGACGTTTTACATCTCACTGATACGGAAAAACATAATTTTGCAATCTTGTCCGTATGGCTGTGTGTCTGTGTGTGTGTGTGTGTGAGTGTCTGTCTGTCTGTGTTTAAACACGATAATATGAGTACCGTTACAGCTAAGTTGATGAAATTTCATATATAAGTATTTTATCAAAATCGTAGATCCGTGTCAACTTTTGAGCGATTTCCGATAACTGGAAGTGGTACTTTTTCTATTTGAATTTTTCAAAAGCCTATAACTTGAGTACTATTTCAGATAGATAAATGAACTTTCACATGTAAGTAAAAAATCTAATTCTCTACCATCTTTCGAATTGTGAGTAATTTCAGTTGACCGGAAGTACTAATTTACGCTATTTCCGATTTCTCAAAAAACGCATGTAAATTTATAAAGTACTAATAATATTGCGCACTATTATGCACATTTTGTTTTGGCGTTCGCTTGGTGCGCAATTCTTTTTTCTATGAGATTTTATTCTATTTTTAAAAGTTTAAGTAATTAAAAATCATGTCTATATTCCAAGTTATATAAGAATATTCGAGACAGTTCAGGGGAGATCACTCCCGGTTTATTTTAGATTTAGCCATCGAAGCAGCCGCAAAAAAAATAGAAATGAAAAACTACAACCTGAAAACTACACGGACAGACAGACACAAACACAGACAGACAGACAGACACACAGACATACGGACAAGATTGCAAAATTATGTTTTTACGTATCAGTGAGGTGTAAAACGTCGAGATTTTTAAAAATCTCGATTTTTTTTTTCTTTTGCACGATTACAATACTTTCTCTATACTTCGAGAAAAATGAAAACAAACAAAATCGTTTTTGACCTTTTTAAAATTTTTATTTAGTTGCCTAAAATACTATACATATAAAGTGCATCCAATATTGAAATGTTGAAAAAATATCCTAGAAAATTAAACAATTAGATTGGTTTAAACATATTTATTTTAATACCATCATTTACGATTTTTTAAATATTTAACGGGCCTTTCGAATAATTTCGAGTCTGTTCTGAGTGTCCATTAGAGGTCATATGTTTCTATTACCTCAGTATATAAAGGGATTGTTTAGAACTTACAGTACATGCATCCAATAAAATTAATTTTAAAATACTTCGACCACCCCCAAGTTTCAGGGTTGTTTATAAAACAGATTGAGCTCCCTTTGATAAACAACCTGGTAAGCTTTAGTAGTGCAAAGTCCGAATCCCAATCAGCAGCTTTTTGTATCGATTACATGGATAGTAAATACTGCCTATGGTCACAATCATTTCAAATTATAAGGTCAAGGGTTAAATATAGGGACCGATAAGTTCAACACAAAGATAATGAAATATAACGCGGACAAACTAGATACTATCGATATTTTACGTTGTGATATTATCGTGGATATGTGTTTTATAAGAGGCTATTAATGACAAACATGAAGTTTTTATTGCTTACTTTACTCCTCGTAAGCTCGGGTAAGTGTAGAAAAAAACTCGATCATATAAACTTAAAATGTTATATTCTTTCTCATTCATATGTGTATCGTCGTTTCCATGAACAGTACCCTTAGTATCAAAAAAAAGAGCCAAATTTATTTAGGGTCGAAACGGTATATCGTTAACATTAAACAAATAGTACTTCAATCACATTTTCAAATTGAATAATGTATAATCTAATCAGTTTCTTATGTTTTTATTTAAGTGACTATCCGAAAATAGAAGATGTTTCTATTCAGTTAATATTTATATTGCTACTGACATATATACATCCATCTATATATATATATATATATATATATATATATATATATATATATATATATATATATATATATATATATATATATATATATATATATATATATATATATATATATGTTTACTTTTTTTTACATATTTTTTAACATGTTAGTAAATATTGTTTCTCCCTTTTCAGCATACGGGTTGTCCCTTACGGTAACTCCAGCAGTTTTAGAGATTGGCATTACACGAAGGTTAGAGGTCAACTGTTCCACTACAATAACCACGGATTCAGCGATGGTCAGTTTAATTTCTTTAATCATCTCAAGGTCAAGCACCAACCAATCGTCATTCACAGAACTGACCTCTATAAATGTTTTCACATCTGACAGTCAAGTCATGTTGGATGTCAGTGATGTCACAGGTTCTGGTAAAATTGACAACAACGGTCTGTCATACATCAGACTGAATTGGGAATTCCCAGATTCTAATGTTTCTGGCATATACAGGTGTGAGGCTAATGGAGTTGACCGTGCAGGACATCCGGTGAATTTGAATACATCACAGATACTGTACTTTGTTCAACCAGATATTAACTCATTGGTCAAACAAATACAATATTTGACCAACTCTTTTGAAAATATATACACAATCGTCGAACAACAAAACATAAACTTGACCAATCGCCTTGCAGAAGTCAGTGCAACTGAACAAGAATTACTAGCTGAAGAAAATGTGTGGAACACACGCCTGGACAAAATGAAACATTTACTTTTTAATATATCGACTATATATGCAGGCCATTACTATATGTTATCTAGCAAACATGCAGCAATAGAACCTGAAACCGCCGAGGCAACATGTGCTTTGTTTGGTGGGTACCTTGTGGAGATTGACTCCTATGACGAGATGCAGTTTGTCAGAAATTTTATTTCAAGTAACCCAAACTTCAACCTGACGTTAACTGGGGGTAATGACGAAGCTGTTGAGGGACATTGGGTAAACAGACACAGCCGTACGGATGTGGGGTATCTAGATTGGGCCAGCGGAGAGCCAAATCATGACGGAAACTGTATATATCTGTCAATGTCTCATATGAGTGACCGCCCCTGTTACTTAGCACATGAAATTTTCGACATTACATTTTTATGTGAGGTCCCCCAATAGGTTTCTTTTTAAACTTGATTATTTTAAGGTTGAATTTTTTAAAAGACGGCTCAAAGTTATAAAGTATCATTGGTTTGGAAAACTGTAGTATTGAGCTGGGAATAAAACATTTAGCTCTATAAAATGTTCTTTATATTTGTTGTTGAAGATTAAATTATAATCTAAGATTTGAAATAGTTTTTTTTTTAACTTTATGTTTTAAAGTTAAAATGAAAGTTATGTTTCTCTTTGCAGATAAAAATTGTCTTCTTTTATCTCATTCTTTTAGTTAGATTTTTTCGTTCTGATACTAAAATACGTGTATTGTATGACATATACGTGTTTTATATAAGCACCTTGTTTCTTGTTTTCAGTAAACCTTTTCATATTACAGACTACACATTAATTATGCATTGTACTTTTTCAAAGCAAATAAATGTCAGTTGAAACTTCTGCATGTTCTTTTAATGCTAACAATATATCATTAATAAAATATTTTAAACCAAAATAGTAGTTTATAATTAGAGAATTCCACTGATGTATTATTGTTATTTTGAGCTTTCAAAATATGTTTCATCCTGCATGTTTTGTTGATGGAACATTTGAAGCAGATTGTATAATATTGCTTTGTCTTATGCATGTAAAAAAGCTACCAATGCCGAAATATGTAGAAAAACTGGGCGACAGTTTAAGCAAACAAATACAAAATCGCAAATGGAAATGAATTGGACACACATTGCGTAAATCAACTAGCAACATCGCTAGACATGCACTAGATTTGGAATCCCCAAATAAAGAAAGAAAGAGGAAAATTAATTACCCCCAAAGTAACTTGGAAATTGTATTATTTATTTATCGAAGTTACGTCCTTGATTAGAGATAGTATCATTTTTTTTACTTGGTCGTCTAGAGATTAAATTTGCAAAGCGATGAGTTCTCTTCTGTTCTAATCTTTTTGTTATCGTTATTTTTTTTTAAGTGGGCATTAAAACTAAAAAACATTAAAATAAACAAAGATTTATTTGGCTACCTTGGATGTTTTTCTTTTTATTGAGCAATACGCATAAAAGAAGTACAAGAGACAACGACTGAGACCGATTTTTTCAATATTAATTTTTTTTTTCAATAAAGGGCCTTTTATTAGAAACAAATAGGCATAATAATAAAGAGACAGCAAACTGTTTAATTTTTGATGTTGATTATATACTGGAGGTGTTCATTCTGTCAAACTAATCAAGCCATCCTCAATAACAAGATAACAAAAAGATAACTAGTGGCAATTGGCAATTTATAAAAACGCAATACTGAGCCAACAAAAGCACTAAAACAATACCAAGCACATATCGCATATAATCAACATCATACACATAATGATGACTTGTTTAAAATTAAATTTTCAATTGCGTGTAATCTCGTGTTCCACAAAAAATATTTTGCTACCAATTCGTTTTCTAGAAGACGTATTTGTTCTAGTCGTCTGGTGATATTCAAGTTTCGTTCATCTAACAGAGCATGTATGTTTTCAACAGATTTCGTCAATGTTTGTATCTGAGCTACCAATATCGGAATATCTGGCTTCACAAACGTTGTTGTTCTAGAAGTGTGAATGTTCACCGGATGTCCTGTACGGTCAACTCCATTAACGTCACACCTGTAAATTCCAGAAGTATTAGAATCTGGGAATTCCCAATTTAGTTTGATGTATGACAGACCGTTGTTGTCAATTTTACCAGAAGTTGTGACATCACTGACATCCAACATGACTTGACTGTCAGATGTGAAAACATTTATAGAGGCTAGTTCTGTAAATGACGATTGGTTGGTGCTTGACCTTGAAATGATTAAAGAAATTAAACTGGCCAGGCTTGATGCAATGGCGATCGAAGTAGAACAATAGACTTCTAAGTGTCGTGTTAGACCTGCCACCACATTGGATGGAGTCACCTCTAGGGACAACCCGTTACCTGGAGTACACAACATACTATATATAAATATATATATATATATATATATATATATATATATATATATATATATATATATATATATATATATATATATACGAATAAATATATTTATATGCATACTTATATATATATATATATATATATATATATGTATATATATATATATATATATATATATATATATATATATATATATATATATATATATATATATACGAATAAATATATTTATATGCATACTTATATATATATATATATATATATATATATGTATATATATATATATATATATATATATATATATATATATATATATATATATATATATATATATATATATATATATATATATATATATATATATATATATATTTATTTATTTATTTATATATATATAATATATAATATATATATATATATATATATATATATATATATTTATTTATTTATTTATTTATTTATTTATTTATTTATATAAGGTACAATTATTATTTATTTAAAAGCATAGCATGCTTAGCACTGGAAGTTATATCATTGTTTTAAAACATTTTAATTTGTAAATGCTAACATACTAGTTAGTTCACATTGGGCTCCATAGTAACCAGCGTTACACGCTAAGCAGGTCCCATTGGATCTATCACATTCTGAGTTCTGGCACTCAGAAGAGCACGTGTAGCTACAGTCAGGTCCATACTGGTGTTTGTCACAAGCTGCGTTATAAAATATTCAATGATTGTAGACTCTTGCATGGAACATTAAATGTTTTTGGTATACTTGGCTTAATAAATAATACGACAATTTTAATATCGAAGACTTTCATAAAATTATTTCACTGAATAGTTAAAAAGATCTTTGTAAAGTAATACTTTTATAATACAAAATTAACTTTAGAACAAAAAATAAAATGATAGTCAACCTAACATAAATAGATATATTTTGATAACTAACAAGGCATTATTTCAACGTTTTACTGTTAGCCCGAAGGTCTTGAGTTCGGATCTCGGCTTGTGCTAGTTAATGCAGGACGCGCATGGGTCAACTGAGTTCTGAAGGGTACATGATCACATTGGGAAACAAAGGCGGATGAGCACTTATAGGCCTAGGTCATTGCAAAAGATCAACTCTACTTCATCTGCCTCCACCCCCCCCCCCCCCCCCCCCATAATGTGAGATACATTTTACACAGTTGTAAAATGGTTTTTTTTTTAAAATTAGCTTGGTTCTGATACTTGAGTAAATGTGAAAATTTACGTGTTTGGCAGAGTCCACCGACATACCCCGCCTCACAGCCGGAGCTACATGCGCCTGTGTTGACATTGCACTGACAATGACAGCTGTTGTTGCACTCGAAACCATATCTATTACCCACACAATAGTCTTCTGTAAAATACAAACAATAAAAGTAAATTACTGCAAAAAGATAGATTTTTTTTTTAAGTGGTCGGCTCTGGACGGATCGGTAATAGCTCATGGTTTCTGAAGTCTCGAGTTTGAACCCCTGGGCAGATGAGGCTAAACAGCTAGGAACAAAAATTATATAAAACAAGACTCCAAAATCAAAACAACTGATGCTTGTATTTTGTTCTTGGATGGACAAATGCTATGGAAGTAAATCCAATAACGTAGTCAAATGGTGGTATTGCGTATTACAGGTTGGCCGTACGATTTAATTGTGTTGGAGGAAATGCTGCTTAACATAACAATTAAAACAAAGAACAAGAAATGTTTTTTGAAATATCACGCACAATTGGATATATAATAATATATAATTTCTTTTAACAAAAGCAACATTATTATAAACTTTTTTACGTTTGCATTTCATGTGTTTCTAAAATATAAACCACATAAATATAAAATCCTGTTAAGAAAAGTATTACCTCCGTAGATTTCTACTTCACATAAGGTAAGAATGTCTTTAGCATACACCTCTACTCTAGACACTGGGTTAGTCCCCATGTCATTGTCCACATAGTAGATCAGCACTTGATCACTTGGGTTTTGGTCGATGAAATGATATTTCTCAGATCCATCAGGGCCGAATGTAGTTAGACGAAATCCTTTTAGTCGCTCTGTGACCCAAGCTGTAGACAATAAAGTAGGTAATTTCAAATAGTACATGAGACGGCGTGGTCTAACGGATAGTGCGATAGGCTGCTAACCCTAACGTCTCGAGTTCGTTTCCGGGTTAAAATCAATTAAACTTCTATGAGTTCGCCCAGCTAGTATGAGTACGTAATTCACGGCAAAGAAAGTAAAGTTCTGACAACACTATCCCCTCAACTTCCATCAATCAACTTCACGTGCCCTATAGCTAAGGCACGAACGGGAATAGATGATATAATATGTTAACGGCAGTGTGTAAAAGCCTAGAATTGTATCATCTACCGATATTATATACTAGCTCTAAATCCTCCATAATCAATATCCTATATCTTGATCTACTGCTAGACTGGTGATGCTTATCGTGATCCATTACCATGAGTATAAATCACAAGCTATATATATATATATATATATATATATATATTTTAAATATTCAACAGAAAACGAAAACACAACTATTGTATTTTACAAGTACCGAGCAACAACAACAAAATAAACACGCAACAATTTGCAATGTTTAAATAACGTGATGTAAACAAACACTACTTTAATACCTCTGTTATGAATTATAAATTTGAAAACAGTTTTTGGTTCCTCAAAATCTAGTCTCCACCATCCAGGTGTATTCACAGACGTATGCGAGCAGGAAAGTCCCCCAGCAAATGCGGTGTTTGTATTACCGTCCACAGCTAAAGATGAATTGAATGAAAAATTGTTCACAACATAAGTTCCAGATTGCTCCGTTCTTTGCCTCAAGGCTACATTCCTACCTGCAAGCACAAAAGCACAAAAAAAAAATTAGGATTATTGAATGATAAGCTAGAATTGTTTTGTCTGCCTTGAAAATATAAGGTTTCTATTCCACGTTTTTTTTTTATTTTTCAAATTAAGTCACTCTGAAGCTCACAGTTGTTACATTTTTCTAATTAATTTGATTAAAAACTATTACAACTATGCCGAATTAAGATTGTTAGGATTAAGATAGTTTTGTTTCCATTGTAAAAGTGATACATTTGCTAAAGAATTGAATAGTTCTTGGATTAAAGCAGCTATAATTTTGTAGTGTGTTAGTGTTTGGTTTTGTACTGTTCCCAAGTTGGTACATTAAAAAAAAAGATTCATCGTGGCGGAGCACGGGTATGCAGCTAGTTGATTATAATGTACTTAATTAGCATGATTAGCCAACTCTAAAACCAATATATGTTAAACATCATAACAAAGTGTATTAGCTTTGCTAAATATCTATAGTTTATTAAAAAAAAAGAATATTGCAATGTAAAAAATCAACATACAAATTGTAATAATAAAAAAAGTAAAAAAAAACCTGTACTAACCCCCGCTCACGTGTATAGAGCACACATTAGTCAACTCATGAAAGTCAATCTGTATGTAACGGAGTAAGGTTAGACCAGAGCATGTCACATCAGTCACCGTGTCACTTATCTTGTAGACAAACTTTGATTCACAAGTAACGCTGCATTCACTGCTTGTATTGTCTTTAAACCTTATATCGAACAGTGATGTAGACTCTAGAGTATGAGAAATTATTTAAACTATCAATGCTCTGTCTTAAGTATCACATCGTTAAAAACAAATCGATAAGTTCAAGCTTATAAATTAAAATTCTTTATATATATATATATATATATATATATATATATATATATATATATATATATATATATATATATATATATATATATATATATATATATATATATATATATATATATATTCTGAATAATTTACTAAATAAATAACTAGGTACATATTTCACATTTTCTAACTCTATATTTATATTGTGTTGTCTTGTATACAAGTATTACAAAATGTTTTTTCAACAAAGTGTTTAACTATACCTGCAGTGACAACTCGTATCCAGGTAATGACGTGATCGGTGTTTAACTTTATAGTCACCGTTTTAGTATTGTGACAAGTGGAGTCTTGGCCGTCTACCAGCTCTTGTAAATTCGGTGTGATGTTTTCCGCCTTGGTTGCCAGATCAACTTCAGAAGAGATTACAGTTACAAACATTTTCTTACATGTGATGTTTATTTGCATGTAATGGTAGGCTTTATGTTTATAGTATTAAATTGTATAGATGTAATGGTAGGCTTCATGTTTATAGTATTACTTTGTGCAGATGTAATGATTGGTTTTATAACATTAGGTTGTACAGATGTAATGGTAGGTTGGTTTTTTTTTAATAATATTACGATGTACAGATGTAAATGTATGTAGTCAGTTGTATAGATGTAATGGTACATAGACGTGTTTTACTTACGGAACTGGCAAGCAGGACCAAACCACCCTCTCACACATGTACCATTGCAGTTTCCCAACTCGTCACACTTGTCATCTACACAATGACATTTATATTGGTTGTGGGATCCGAACCAGCCATCGTCTGAAAAAATCAATTTTTACCAGCGTATCATTGTATGATACAATGTACTGGGCTATATAAATATCTAACAGCATATTATGCTAGGTCGAACGGTAGCACAGCCAGAAGCTTATAGAATAAGATGGTGGTTTGAAAATTATCTCCTATATATATATATATATATATATATATATATATATATATATATATATATATATATATATATATATATATATATATATATATATATATATATATATACATAAACACCTGGCATTATGTCTTATCTACTGGTCAACACATTTGAAAATAGTTGTACATACAGACCTGCAGTCGCTTTATCTGAGTAGAAGCTGCATAGAAGTACAGCGAAATATAATGACTTCATTTACCTTTTAGGCTGTAAAATAAATGTGAAAAAAATTGGCATAAACATTATATGACATGGCATAAATTACTATGTAAATATACAAAACCTTAAGCCGAAAGTGTTTTGTGCAAATAAACAAAAAATATTAAAACAAAATTATTTAAATCGTACGAATGTGTATTATTAATAAAAAAAAACGGTTTCTCACCTGAGCAGGCTTATGTAGCCTACCTGTGTCGACACACACTAAACACGATAATAGTTTAAAATCAACTTCCGCTTACCTTATCGTGATAGTTACTCTGTTTATAGAATATGCTTGTATCGTGCTTACACGTAATTACAATTATTACATTATAGGGGAGAAATTACAACTCTTATCGTATTTCTTTCACGGTGAAATATAGCATTTTTTTTTAAACAAAAGCTATAGATCTGTACAGGTCAGAACTTGTAAGTAGATATTATATTTGCATTTATCTACACAGGTCTAATCAAATACCACTTAAGATACAGACAAAAAAAGACGGCACTTAATGATTAGATAGTTTGTAGAAACGTGAACAGACAGGGACTTGATTGGATTGTAAGATAATGGACTACGTTATCACAATATCTACATTCGGCTGTTATTTATTTTAGGGTAGTTGATGATTTGGCGATTTCCCCAAAAATAATAATATAAGAAAAAAGTATTTATAAATAAAAATCCAAATGAATTAATTCACTAAAGCATAAAAAGAAAAAAAAAGCGGGATTAAATAAAAGTCACATGGCCAAATGTGCACAACATGTTGACATGAAATACAAATAGTGTTAAAGCGAATCCCGTCCAATATTACATTTAAGAACGAAGAGGAAGAAGAAGAAACAAACACTATTAATAACACTATTTTAATAAGCATTCAACGAAGGACCGATTATGTTGATTAAAACATAATTTACTCCTTATTACTTAGTGGTATGATGGGGGATACTTAAAGGGCAAGTTCAATTCACTAGTAAAACTCTACTTCAGGTATACTTTGCACCCTTAATTATTAATGCATAATTACGAAACTGCTTACATTTGAACAGTAAAATCCTTGTTATTCATGAAAAACTCAACGTTTTATTTATGACAATTTTTTTAATATGTTTTTATGTGTTCAATTATTTTGACGCAATCAGTTATCAAGTTTACTTCAATAAGGCCATGGTTTAACATGTACTTAATCTAGTCTCAAGGTCTTTACAACAACAAGTTGTAGCAAGATACGAGGTCTACGTGTTTACTTATCGAAGCAATGTATCAAAACAAGTCATAGTGTAAAATATATTGTTGGTCTGATGTAGATATTATAAACACAGACGAACAACTGATAAAACAACAGCGCTAGCAACATTGAAGAGGTTGCATGTAAACAAAGCTAGGTCCAAATATATTTTTTCAAAAAGGTCAGAGGTTGCACGTGAAATCTGGAGATGATAAACTTCCTGTTGCTTGCAGCTGCTTTTTACACAGGTAAGTCATTGATGTATACACACACATATATATATATAATATATATATATATATATATATATATATATTATATGCATTATATTACATACTCTCACAAATACTATCACGAATATACATTCTAGGGATGAAATTTGTGCTAGCAATTCAAGAAACATCCCCTTACATTTTTGGTTTAATTTTCTACTAGACTACCCGTCATCCCTTGGATAACTGTGGGTTTCGGGGGTCATCCATAAAAAATATCACGTCTGTGACTTATCGTCACAAAACACCAGACCCCACATTCAAATAGACGTCACACCTCAGATGTTTTTGTCTTTTAAAAACACCTATTTCGGCTGAGCATGGTTCTGACAACACTATCCCTTTATATTCTGAGATCACAAAAACAGGTCAACTCTACTCACCCCACCCCCCACCCCCCAACTTAGACATGTTTTTGTCTTTTAAAACACCGATCAGAGTTTCTTCCAGACATCTCGGGGGGGGGGGGGGGGGGGGGAAGGAGGGAGGTGAGAGGGGAGCTCCCTCCCCCCCCCCAAGAAGAAAGTCTACCGCCCGACCCCCCCCCCCCACCCCCCGGAGAAAAATGTTTTGGAAGCAACACTGACACTAACATAGCCTGAGCATAGGTCTGACCACATTACCCCTTCATATGCTGACGTCACAGCTGAATTCTGCACCTACGCATCTCTACTTCGCCTGCCCAGTGTCCCGCCAAGTCTCAGACAACATATTTTTATCGTTTACAAAAAGATTCCGGCCGAGCATGGCTCTGACCACACTATCACTTCATATGCCAAGAACACAGGAACAGGTGAGCTCTACTTCACATGCCCCGTTTCCTGCCAAGTCCCAATAGACAACTTTATCATTCACATCTATAAAAAAAAAATTACAAAAAAAAATAAATATCTACAAGATGTGTTTCGAACCCGTAGGCCTACCACCCGTACCAACATGCAGCACAAATCAGAATTCTAACAATAAACATAATTTATATAACCAAACTACCTTCATTAGGTCTACATTGTTATGTCTACCTCTTGGTACCGTCACCCTCCGTGTCCACAGACAGCAGCCTTGCGTGTGACTGCCACAGCTAGGGACGAAACTACCCATAGTCCCATATAACATGACATGGGACACAGGTAAAATCGCTCACAGCAGAGCATGCAAAACAACTACATCAACAGTTCAATTGCGGTCCCACAGGGGCCGCAACTCAATGTATTAAAACTATTCTTATCCCTCTCTTGGTTGGTAACCATGTGTGTTACACGTCTTTAAATAAATATGTGATTAACAGTCTGTCTGAAAACAAAAACTGTTCTCTACCTACATACTATTTTACAGCTCTAAACATATTGCAGATTCTCTCCAGTAGCAAATCAGACAAACAAATAAATATTCAAACATGTAAACAAAGTTGAGTTTTAGTAGTATTAAGATTGTTTCAATTAATTTAGTTGTTTGTACCAATCTATTTTTGAAGCAAATGGATTATCCCTTGATGTGACACCCACCACAGTTGTGATAGTTCTGACAAAACATGTTGAAGTCACGTGTTCCATATCGATTGAAATTGTCCGGGCATGGCCAGTCTCATCTCATTAATCAGCTCAAGGTCTAACACCAACCAATCGTCATTCACGGAACTGGCCTCTATAAATGTTTTCACATCTGACAGTCAAGTCATGTTGGATGTCAGTGATGTCACAGCTTCTGGTAAAATTGTCAACAACGGTCTGTCATACATTAAACTGAATTGAGAATTCCCTGATTCTCAAATTTTGGGCATATACAGATGTGAAGCTAATGGAGTTGACCGTGCAGGCCATCCGGTGAATTTGAATACATCACAGATACTGCATTTTTTTTTCAACTAGATATAAACTCATTGGTCAAACAAATGCAATATTTGACCAACTCTTTTGAAAATGTATACACAATCGTCGAACAACAAAGCCTACCATGCAGGACTCCCAATAAATTTTAACACTTCTCAAACAGTATTGTTTATAAATCCCGATACAGATGCATTAGTAAAAGAGATACAATATTTGACTAACTCTATAGAAAACATTTACGCAAAAATAAACGAACAAAATTTTAACTTGACAACTTCGATTGAAAAGGTCAATGCTTTGGAACAAAACATTTTAATGAAAGATAACTTATGGAATGCAAGATTAGAAGCAATAAAAAATGCACTGTTTGAAACGTCATATGAATTCGATGGACGCCATTATCTTTTATCTCGTCCAATGAATCCTATGCAGGTAGACACTGCTCAAGTCAGGTGTGAGTTGTTTGGTGGTTACCTCCTGGAGATTGACTCCAGTGATGAGTTTGAATTTGCCAGGAATTTAACCTTAAGTTACCCTAAACTTAACGTTACATTGACTGGAGGTAGCTACGATGCCGTACATGACCTGTGGGTAAACAGACACAGCGGCTCACCTGTAGGATACACGTTATGGTCCTTTGGAGAACCCAACAAGGATGGTCCATGCCTCTGTTACAAGGTTATACATGGCAGACCATTCCTGTTACTTAGCTATTAGCACATTGGAAATCAGATATCTATGTGAAATTCCCGAGTAAGCTGATAGACATTCAAATTTATTCAGTAATGTAAAAAAATGTTGTTAGACTTATAAATATAAATAATACTTTTTTTTTCTTTGTTGAACATCCATACATAAGAACAAACTGTTTGAACTGTATTGCAATTAACCACATGAGAAGTGTTACTTATGTTGTATGTACTTTAGTTTACATAATACGATGAACTTATAAAATTTAAATTTACTTTTTAAAATCGTATTTAATATGGATTATTTTATTTAAAAATTATTAAATTATATGTATAGGCAACTTGTTTTCTGTTTTCTTCGATGCTTTTATATATATATATATATATATATATATATATATATATATATATATATATATATATATATATATATATATATATCATGCTTTTTTAACTGACGAAATATTGTAAAATTTGGGCATTATTCTTTTATTATAATTTATTATCTCATTACTATTCAACAAAGCAATGTTTACATGAAAAACATTTACTAATAAATGTTGCTGCCGTGTACAGATTTTTTTTTGTTTCCAATAATTTTATTGTCTTACTAACAATTCTTATTGCCGTTTCATGACACTTCTCTTACATAGCAATCCCAATCAGCAAATTCAATTTAATAATTTTTTTTAAAAATAGTGTATGAAATTCTACTCGTTTTCACAACAGGATCACTCCTAAGTCATTCTAAAAATGCACAAGTTTTAAATCCAAATTCCTACGTCTAGCTTACGTGTGTAAATAATATTGAAATTACCGAAAAATTTAGATTTATCTTTTAACAAAATGTACAACATCTACCTGCACAACACAACATTTTAAGGACAATTATAGAAAAAAAAATGCATTGATTTTCAGTAATTAAAAAAAAATAATTTAAAAAATTTAAAATCTAAATACTTGAAACCCAAAAAAATAAAAAGAAAACTATTTAAAACTACAAATTCAAAATATAAAATGCAAGAGAAAGAATTGTAAGCTTCAGCAGTTAATGAAGTTTTTTAATAATATTTAACAAAACGAATATGTCGGTGTAAAAGTAAGTGTAAGTTTATTCAGAAATTTCACAAATAAATCCATTCTCAGAATACGTTGCTTGGAAAAAACAACTCCACTCATACATATACCAATGGTGGGCCCTACTAAATAGCATACAGTTATAATCGTCGTCATGAGATGGCTCCCCTTGCCCCCACTGGATGTTGTGTGCGATAGTTCCGCTGTGAATGTTGATCCAGTGGTCCTCAGTGGCTCTGTCTGTGGCACCTACCATTATATACTTAAACTCAGGATGACTGGAAACTAAAGCACGAAGAAAATTAAACTCAGCAATAGAATCGATTTCAACTAAATACCCGCCAAACAATTCACAAATGGTTTCATAATCCTCCACCGATACAACAGATCTAATATGGGAAAGTAGGTACTGATGATTTTCGAAATCTGTCCAATTTGTGAACATGTGTTTTTTTATCGACTGAAAACGAGAGTTCCATATTTGTTGGTTTGCCTCTAATTTTTGAATAGAGCTGTTTATTTGATCAAACGAGTTGCTTATAGTTCTATTTTGACTTTCAATGACGTTGTTTAAGACATCTATTTTAGTATTTATGTTCTTTAGTTCATGCATCAATACATGACTATCAGATTGTACAGATACTACTAGTACTGTGCTACTTATGGCAACCGGATGTCCAGCAAAATCCACACCGTTTGCCTCACACTTGTACAGTCCAGTTTTGCTGGCGTCCGGGTATTCCCAAACCAGGCTCAGATTCGATTGGCTGTAAGCATCAATGACACCTGTTGATGTTTGGTTGTCGCGGATGTTTTCAATGACTTGTCCAGATAACTGGAAAACGTTGATAGAATTAAGTTCTTTGAAGTTGGTATCATTAGCATCAGTGGATCTGGAGATAATGAGCGAAATAAGGCTAGCCATTTTTGAACTGCTTTCCACTGTTGTCGAACATTTTACTGTCAGATTTCTCGTCTCGCCGACATCAACTATGTGTGGCGAGGCTTCAATTTGGAGACCAATCGCTGTTAGAGATGGGTGTTTTATTAATCAATAAATAAAAGCATAATATTGTATACTCAACTGAATTGAATTAACAAAAAGCAAAATAACAACAATTTTTACTTTCTCGTATATACGAAGTATAGAGAAAGTATTGTAATCATGCAAAAAAAAAATGAGATTTTTACAAATCTCGACGTTTTACGGCTCACTGATACGGAAAAACATAATTTTGCAATCTTGTCCGTATGTCTGTGTGTCTGTCTGTCTGTCTGTGTGTGTGTCTGTGTGTAAACACGATTACTTGAGTACCGTTACAGCTAGGTTGATGAAATTTCATATATAAGTATTTTATCAAAATCGTAGATCCGTATCAACTTTTGAGCGATTTCCGATAACCGGAAGTGGTACTTTTCTTACTTTGAATTTTTTAAAAGCCTATAACTTGAGTACTATTTCAGATAGATAAATGAAATTTCACATGTGAGTAAAAGATCTAATTCTCTACATTCTGTTAAATTTTGAGTAATTTCCGTTGACCGGAAGTAGTAATTTACGCTACTTCCGATTTCTAAAAAAAACTAATGTTAATTTTTAAAGTACTTATAAAATTTGCGCACTATTATGCACTTTTTTATTTGGCGTTCACTTGGTGTGCAATTCTTTTGTCTACGAGATTTTATTCTATTTTAAAAACTTTAAGTATTTAAAATGGATTAAAAATATTGTCTATAGCCCGAGTTCCCATCCCCTGTTATTTTATATAAGAATATTCGAGAAAGTTTTGGGGAGATCACTCCCGGTTTATTTTTTAATAAAATAGAAACACGTATTGTTGGTTATAACTGCGAAACTGATTTGTTTCTATTTTAACACGTGAAGTTTTAAAATCAATTTTGTACAGTCTTACTTTGATTAAATATCTTGTGTTACATTTTTGATACTCCAAAACAACTTTTACTTTTTCAAAATGTGTCTCCGCATATCAAATAACTATCAATGAGTGACAATTTATACGTATGACGACACATATCTATTAGTGGGTGGAGGTGGGATTCATAATTTTAGCGAGGAAGTGTATCATTATTTCAGTTGTTTAGTGAAGGGGTGTAGGCTAAAGTGTGTGGTAATCTTACGGAATGTTGCAACAGTATGAGATTTGGTGACGAGGAAGCGGCAGGTATACAAATCATAACAAACGAAAATACTTTTAAATCTAGAAAGTCGATTGTGATCTAACTACAGAAGCTTGAGTAACTGTGGCTCGATATTTTTTTTTCCAAACTAACATAAAAATAGTGTATGTTTAAATAATAAAATAAATGTTAATATGATTCTTCGGTAGAATCTACGCACCCTAAATGTAATGGAGTTATCGAATGAGATATTAATGATTTAATCAACTTACCTGAAGAAGTTACAAGTCCTAGTATTGTTGCTATGATGCGCAACATTTTCTGCTATTCTAATCTACTGTACACAAAACAACGTTCTTCAAACTATTTATAATGTTTTACAGCCACCACTTCTTGTTTGCTGATGATAAAATGTGACGCCTACCTACAGAAACAATTAATTTCTCCGTCATGTGATAACTATCAATTAGATAAAGTATTAATCATGTGAGCCACTTTATTGCTGATAAGTAAATCTTCGATATGTCCATGTTAGTCGGCGCAGTCCAGTAGGTAAAGCTCATGGTTGCTAATCCGAAATGTCTCGAGTACGAACTTTCGGGCAGCTCGACAGCTAAGGACAGCAACTCTTCTAGGAGAGACAACTCTAAAATCAAACAATTGCTGCCTTATAGTTTGTTCACTCTTTGTTTAAACTTTGATGCAACATATTTTTTTATTAATGAAGGCATGGAGTTTTACACGGTTAAGGAAAAAAAAGAATAAAAGAATTATTATTGTACGCGATTGTTAAGGTATTTACATGATTTTAAAATGATTGACCTGGAAAAGCATCAACAAAATATTTCATTAATGTAGTCTAAAATACTAAAGCGAACATGCAAGGAAAACTGACATGTATGAGGCGGAAAGAAACAGTCATGATACTCATATTTAATTTCACTTTAATTTTTGTTTTGAAAAATGAACAGATAAATTTAAATTAATTTAAGACAATTACTACAATAGCTACATAGATTCTGAGAATTAAATAAAGAATGAATTTTTTTGGTAGCTAACTTCAATATATCTTTAAGTCTAATAGTCAATACCAATGTCAAAGTTTTGGAGTAATCACAAGTACACAACTTGAGCGATTCTCAACTAACCTACTCTTCTTGATAACTATTTTCACAAAAATATATAAATTAAGTTTTGCATAATAGAAACAAGATCTACTAGTTTCAACGGACCACCAGTCATTACTTATGATGGTGTTACACTTGGTTTCTTATGTATTTTGGGCTCGTTGGAGCCAGTTGTAACAAATTGTAAATATACACAATCCACAACGAGAATCTGTATCATGGGAGTTTAATTATCATCAAGCACAAGAACATATGACAAGAAGAAAAACTGACATGTAGCTACACGATGCTGGCCGTATTGCTTCACACACTGCCTCGTTCACACACTTTGGTCTTGCTAGCACACCACTTTCAAGGTGAGGCTACTCTCACACACACTATATCTTTGCCTACACATTTCCGTTATAGACATCTACATCAACAGTGGTAATTCACATAGAAACGAAACATGATACTCGTAACCCTTAAAATAACAATAATCATCTGCCATTTGTAGGTTTCCTCCCCTCCATAAGTACAAACAGTTTCACTAGTTCCAGCGTTCGGCTGTCCGTTTGCCCAGCTCAGGTAGGTCGGTGTACCATTGTGTTGGTTAACCCAGTGTCCTTCAACTGCTTCATCGCTACCTCCAATAAGAACAACAGATATATCAGTGTATCCTGATATAAAACTTCTAATAAACTGCATTTCATCATAGGTGTCGACTTCAGCTACGTAGCCACCGTATTGAATACAGGTAGCCTGAGCACGGCTTATGTCTACTGTGTAAAGTCTATTAGATAAAAGATAGAGATGCCCGTTTTCAGCGTATTGTGGAGACACGTGAAAAAGTGAGTTCTTCATAGTTTCTAGTCTTGCGTTCCACAAGGTTTTGTAAGTCTGCAAATCTCGAACATTCGCGTTTACTTGATCTATTCGACTGTTTAAATTCTGATTAAGTAAACTATGTACGTTAGCATCGATTTGAGTGATTCGATTATTGAGATTATAATTGTGTAAAACCTCAACCATCGAGTGAACCTGTTCGATGTAGCTGGTCAAAACCTGGACCTGTTTGACCAAGACGTCAACACTGGGACTGACGATGGTCACTGTTTGACCTGTGGTGACAGAAACCGGATGTCCACCGCGGTCCACACCGTTGACCTCACATCTGTAAACTCCGGCTTTGTTTTGGTCAGGAAAGTCCTACACAAGTGTCATGTATGAAAGACCGTTGTTGTCAATTTATCCAGTCGCAGTTACATTTTCTTTGGATCGTAGACAACATGAGTGGCCGAGTCGAACACGTTGATGGAAGCGATCTCAGTAAACGTGGAGTTGTTGGTGTGGCCTCTGCAGATGATTAGTGAGATTAGACTAGACATGGCAGAACCTGTGGTCAGTGAAGAGGAACATTTCACCTGCAAGGTTCTGGTGACCCCGATTTCAACCGTGGCAGGGGCCACATCTAAGGTCAACCCGTGCACTGTAAGTAGAACAAACAAAAATATTCGATTGTTTTCAGTTCATGAACTTACATTAACAATAAAAACATTGTAAGACTGAGTGGTAGACATTAAGACATTAAGATTTTTGTCTATTACTTAAAAAAGGAGAAAATAGTTTGTGAATTATCACGCTGGAAAATTACGACAATATACGACAATATTTAATTGCACTAACAAAACAATTATCTTACCCGAAGACGCTGCAAGTCCTAGCACTGTGGCTAGGATGATTAACATTTTATTTTTTTTAATCTACTGTACACAAATGCTTTATCACTCCTATTTATACTATTGTAGAGATATTACTTCCTAGTTGCTGTTGATAACATTTTATGCGATTTTATTTGAACAATTTAGATAAGGTATCAGTCGTGTGATAAAATAAATAACTGTTGATAAATAAGTATCTATTTGCTTAAAAAAACAAGTATATACACTGAAAGGTAACATTTCTTGATAGAATGTGACGCTACACTAGTGAAAGTAAAACATACTTCTATTTAACATGTTTACACAGGTTAAACCAATTTGTAAGCATAAGCACGCAATATATTATGGAATGTATTGATTATTATTAAGAGAGTCCAAATCATATAACTTTTGTTCACAGTATATAAAGTATATTATGTTACTATCATCAAAACATTTGAGCAACATTTTAAGGGTTAAGATTACTAAATCCAGTGCCCTATTTCTCATCCCGGCGTTGTACATAATTCCATACATTTTTTATTAAATACTAAGCCTTTAATCAATTAATAGAGCGTTGTCTTCACAAACACTTTGTTGATGTTAGTATATTGAAATGTATAAATGTGTTAGCTTCGGGCAGATGAGGTTCGTTAGCTGGGGACAGCCACTCTTCTAGGAGAGACAACTCCAAAATTAAACAACTGCTGCCTTGTAGTTTGTTCTTGGTTGGACAAAGGCTATGGAAGCAAATCCAAAAAGAAAAGCAGGCTGAAATCGGAGTCAATGGTCCCAATAGCGCATAAACAGATGACACGTAACTCTTAATTGTGTTGGAGGCGTGGTCGAGTCGGCAAAAAGCTCATGGTTGATAAATTCGAACCCTTGATAAATTCGAACAAAGTCTTGAGTTCAAACCCACTGGCAGATAAATCTCGATCCCCTTCAACATTAATAATTAAGAACGAAGAAGAAGAAGTAGTTAGACAGCTGATAAAAATAAAAAAACTCACTGACAGAAAAAAAAACAATTATACTAATAAATTATTAATTTCCACACAAAAAGAAAACATCAATAAAACTAAGAGAAGAAAGCCAAAATAAAACAACTGCTAACTCGCAAATTCTTATTGTGTGGACTTCTTCTTCTTCTGCGTTCTTAAGTGAGTTATGTTGGAGGATATAAACAGGTCCAAAAAGCAAGCTGAAGTCAGATTTAATGGGCCAGAAGCGTATGACATTTTGACAAGTAAAGCTCCAATATTACAAATTCAGAATGAAGAAGTAGAAGAAAAAAAGTATCTACTGAAGGCTTCCGTGTTGGGATATCTGTGTCAGTCTCATGAACCATGAGTTAAGTTAGAGTATTTCCCTTAATTGTCATCATATACATGTTATATTACTTTGCATAAACTACTAATGCGTTATATGAATCTTTTGATAATGATGTTAACATAAATCAAACAAAGACAATTACATGTTTCATATTGACTTTATAACAGTTTTAGCACGTCTATCGTAAATAACAGATAGTACACATACCACAGAATAAATTTACTCAGTCAAACAACAGCTACAAATTCACTGCGACAGAATAGCCCAAGTTCATAAAACAAATATCAAATTTGTTTTATGACTAGGCACTAAATACTTAAGTCTGAAAATACTATTTAGAGTCAACAAGTACTCTAGCATCTGTATAGCCTAAGTCCTGTACGAATCTTTTGACTTGCAGGATGTTTCAGACTGACCCAGCAGCTCTCATAAAACAGTGTATACAAGTATGACGGATCTGCTGGATCCGGACAAAAAACCGACATGAAAAAAATATATCAATTAAAAATCAATTATTTGTAAGTGATAACAAATTTTTTTCATCTTAAAACAAAAAGTTTTCCAATTCAAATGTAATTAGAAATTTTAACATTTCATTTAAACATAATGAACAAGTGACAGATTGAACGTTAAATAGGGCCTATGGTTTTAGGCTGGACTACATAATTATGATTAAAAAACTAGACAATATCTCAGAAAGTTATACACAGTTTAAAATTCATAGTATTTAAATTCTTGATTTATATTGTTAAATATTTTCAAACGCATGTCTTTAGCTGAATTTTATTTTATTTTTAAGTTATACTCGTTAATTCTGAAATCTCGCATATAAATCCGTATTGCAACAACACTGTAGCGTGATAACAATCGCCTTCAATAATATACCAATTTCCTTCTTTCGAAAACCATAAACAGTTAAAATTTATGTCTCTAGTGTGCATTCCTTGTGCCCATTGAATATCCTGTACAACTGTTCCACTGTGTATATTGACCCAGCGACCCTCTTGAGCATCGTCCGTTCCTCCAGTCATTACATATTCATACTCTACATGATTTATTAAGAAATTCCGTAGAAAATTAAACTCGGCAACCGAATCGACCTCAACCAAATAACCACCGATGAACTCACAAGCTGCCTCGTAGTGTTTTATTTGTGCATCAGGTCTCGGGTAAGAGAGGTAGTAACGATGTTGGCCGTATGTTGTCGAATCTTTAAATAACAATCTTTTAATAGACTCTATACGACTGTTCCACATTTCCTGTCTAGTCTTCATGTTTTCCACAGAGCTGTTTATTCCATATATTGCTCTGTTCTGATTGTCATCGACTTTGCTCAACTGTTCTATTTTAGAGTTCATATTCCTTATTTCACTGACTAAAATATCAATATTAGGGGAATAATGTGCTACCACAACTGTACTATTTATAGCTACCGGATGTCCAGCAAAATTCATACCGTTAGCCTCACACATGTCCAGCTTTGTTAGCGTCCGGGTATTCCCAAACCAGGCTCAAATATGATTGGCTGTTGGTGTCGATGAGACCTGTTGATGTTTGGTTGTCGCGGGTGTTTTCTATCACGTGACCAGAAGACTGGAAGACGTTGATGGAATCTAGTTCTATGAAGTTGGTGTCGTCTGCTCCATGTGATCGGTAGATGATGAGAGACAGGAGGCTGGCCATTCCAGAAATACTGTCAGCTGTGGTCGTACAGTTTACCGTTAGATATCGCGTCACACCAATGGTAATTTGGTTTGGTGAGGCCTCGATTTTAAAGCCTAAACCTGTAGATAAAATCAATAAATAAATTGTTGATTGATATGCAATAAGTGTTTAAAGATTTTTTTGAAATGTTATATCAAATACGTTCAAGAATATTTTAAAAAGTCAAACTGCTTAAATATCTAATACTGTTCATTATACTTGTTATAGAATGAGGTTTTATGTCAAGTATTTTAAACTACATATACATATACTATATATTCATTTTTGAATTTTTCATATTAACGAACTTACCCGTGGACATTGCCAGTGCGAGTATTAGCGTAAGAAGATGCAACATGTTCAGTGTTGTTGATTTCAATTGTTGTGTATACACAATCCATTCTTTAAAGATATTTATACTATGGTATAGACAATACTATCTGGTTGTTAAAACATGGCCCACATAAATCTAAAATAGACCAAAAACGATTAGACTGTTATTGGTCGCATAATTAGTTAGATAATATAATGCATGCGTCAGTAAACAAAGATGTTATTGGTCAGATAATTAATTAGATAAGATAATAAATGTGTTAGTAAACAAGGATGTCATTTATCAGATAGTTAATTAGATAAGATAATGCATGTGTCAGTAAACACCGATGCTCAGATTATTGACGAGGATAATTCTTGTGATTGGTAGAATAATAAAATTAAAAAATAAAGTTCTCCTTCCAAACGTGACGGTGTATGAGGCAAGTATGGTCTGTATCGTGTATTTGCTAATAGTCTTACCCATTGCTAAAATATTGCCGAAACATGGGTGGGTAGCTGCTTACTGACAAATCAAATAATTTTCATCTAAATATATACTAACTGCACGTAAGAGTTATTTTCACTTAACTCCTACTTTACCTTGAACAAAAATTAAAATATTTCGCAAAAAAAAAAAAGAAACACTATATGTTATTGTACACATTGTTGTAAAGTTCATTGGTATCTAAATGATGATATGATACTAGCAAAGTTCTATATATAGAAACCGGATGTCTGCTTCACCCACGACTAGAGTCACACGCAAGTACTAGATGTTTTAGTAACATATCCGGGTATTCCAAAAACCAGGCTTATTTGTGAAACTACGTTATAGTCAATTATGCCTTTTTCTGTTTGGTTATCACTAAGAACTTTAGTTGAAAACCATAGAGAGAGGTCAGTTCCTTGAAGGTCTTGTCCTGCACTCCTGTTGACCAGCAGATATAAAAAGAAATGACGCTGGACATTAAAAAACTTCCATCTATTGTCGTCAAACAATTCACGGTCAGGGTCCTTTTTAAACAAGATACCGTAGAGGCGGGGATAGCTTGGAGTGAGATGCCTGAGACTTAAATAAACAATGTTTTAACATGAAGTTTATATACACAAGTACATACATAAATACAAACACAAAGTCATATATTATATATATATATATGTGTGTGTTTGTGTGTGTGTGTATGAATAGATTTATGTATACGTGTAATAAGATACACCTGAAATAATTGTTTGTTCCAGAGGGATTGTAAGCAGGCTATTTACTAAAATGGCAATATCAACATTAAACGTTTTTTCAATAACACTAGTACATACATACATACACATAGTCATATATATATATATATATATATATATATATATATATATATATATATATATATATATATATGTGTGTGTGTGTGTGTTTGTGTGTGTGTTTGTGTGTGTGTGTGTATGAATAGATTGAAGTGTACGTGTGATACGATACACCTTAAATATTTTCTAGTTCGAGAGGTATTGTAAACACGCTATTTTACAAAAATGGCAAAATCAACATTAAAAGTTTTTTTCAATAACATATTTAGACACCCAAATAACATAGTCCTTACAAACAAACTGTAGTTGCACTTGCTTATCACGTTAGCATAGTTTAAAGCAAGTTGTTTTAGCTAGCGAGTTAGCGCTTTCAAAGGTCTCTTGCAATTACCAAGGCAGCCTTCTAAAGTTTAGTCAATATTTGAAAGAGATAGCAACTCTCATACTCTCATATAAAATAATATATGACATTACTTCAGATCTATCTCCGCGAAAGTCAACACAAAATGTACAACGCATGTGTTTTATAGCTTTGTATTACTCTTCAAAATTGACTCCTCATCCAAGGAGATTACAGAAGGCTACCATTAATCATGTAGATAAGAAACGTCAAGTATGTTATTTATATGTGTTGACAAAACGGGTGTAGACCTAAATCGTCCGCCAGTTGTTTTATTTTCATTATCTGAAGCAACTTAAACAAGAGAAGAAAGTTTTGAGACAACACAACATAATATGTAAAATGTTTCTCACTATCTTTGTTGTATTAGTAATAGCTCTATCCACGGGTAAGTTCAATGTAATTTCAATTTTTTTTGCAGCATTAGTAAAGTTTATTTCATAGGTATAAAACTTTTTAGCCTAACGGTTTAAGTTGTGCAACAATAATAATATCTCTAGAATAATCTGTCCTATGCCTTTTCCTCAACCTGACTCCAGGTGTAACCCAACTATGTTGTTTCGGCTTTAAGGTCCCATCGCCAGGTGTTTCTTGGTTGATTTCTTTTGCGCTTTCTTTGAGAGTACCACCTCAACGCCTGCCTGGTTATGTTGGTTGGCGGTCTATGTAGCGTGTGTCCTATCCAACCGCCCATACCCTTTTCTTAATTTTATCATCCACAATACGTTCTTCTTTCGATTACGATTTGCCGTGCGTTGCTCATTGTGCCTGGCGGGTATATGCTAAGTATTTCTCTGCGGCAGCTGTTTGTAAAGGTCTGGTCTTTTTTCATTGGTAGTCTTTGTTGCTCGTAGGTCTCTGCACACATTTGCGGTCAAGGAAAGCTCCTCACTGGAAGCATAGATGTTCTTAAGTTGTGTGAAGGCTGCTCTGACTTTACCTATCCTTGCTTTAACATCCGCATCTGTTCCTCTCTGATGGTCCACGTCACTACCTAAGTGGGTAATGGACTGCATTTCGTCCAAGGGGACTGTATTTAATGTAACCTGTTCAGTGCTGGTAGTGTGTAGTGTTGATCTTTGATATTTTCGTTCGACCTGCACTGGCTAGTCTCCTACCACACTTGTTGTCTCCTGCATCTGCTGTTGGTTGTTGGAGAGGAGCGCGCGGTCGTCTGTAATGTCAGTACCCTCTTAAAGAGTGGGTGTGCCATCTCTACTGATGCTTCCAAGAATGCTTTTAAGGTATCTGTTAGGAACTCGTTAGGTCCAGGTGCCATCCCACCCGTCATGTGGAAGATGGCCTTTCTAATATCCTATCTAGTTTGCTTCTCGCTGTTGATCGGGATATCTACTTCAGCTGGGTTGATGGGTTCAGAGGTACTGGTCTATATAGGAGTTCCTCAAAGTATTCCGCCTATCTGTTTATATCTGTTCGACCAACCTTTTGGTAGTGTTTCACTGTTTGTGTTTGTCATTGATAGGTGTTTCCAGTTTGCTGAATTCTCCAGAGAGGTTTCTGCAGAGTAGAGTTGCTTTAGATTTCCATTGCATCCTACCTGCTCCACTTCAGCTATCAGACGCATATTATCTTCTTATCTTTTTCGAGCTTCTTTTTCACTTCCCTGTGGTTTTTTCTGTATTATTTTTGAAAACATGCCAATGCTGTTTTTGTTCTGTTGCATTTTCTGTTCATTATCTTCAATTTTTGCTTAGTTTCAATAATTTATTTGTTTAAATTGTGTTCGTGTAGCTTACGGTTTGAACCTGGATGTTACCCCTGACAAGGTGGAGGTTGGCATCACCAGAAATCTGAAGCTAAACTGTTCCACTTCACTGAACACGGACCCAACCATGTCAAATCTAATTTCATTAATTATTTCGCGAGCCCAGGTACTCGACAACCCGTTCATCGAGGTTGCTGCTATCAACCTTTTTAGCCCTGCTGGTCACGTGATCTATGACCCCAAGGAGAATGTGACGGCAACTGGAAAAATTGACAACAACGGTCTTTCATACATGACACTTGTGTGGGACTTTCCTGACCAAAACAAAGCCGGAGTTTACAGATGTGAGGCCAACGGTGTGGACCGCGGTGGACATCCGGTTTCTGTCACCACAGGTCAAACAGTGACCATCATCAGTCCCAGTGTTGACGTCTAGGTCAAGCAGGTCCAGGTTTTGACCAGCTACATCGAACAGGTTCACTCGATGGTTGAGGTTTTACACAATTATAATTTCAATAATTGAATTAATCAAATCAATGCTAATGTACACACTTTACTTAATCAGAATCTAAGCAATCGTATTCAACAAATTGATTCAAATTTACAGCCTTTATTAAATCAGAACCTAAACAATCGTATTCACCAAGTTGAATCAAATCTTCAGACTTTACTAAACCAAAATCTAAACAGCCGAATGGATCAAGTGTATACAAAGGTACAGGACCTACAGAGTGACAGAACTGTATGGAACTCGAGGCGGAAGCGATGAAGAACTCACTCTTCCATGTGTCCTCTGTATACTCTGGTCATCGATACTTTTTATCCAGCAAACTCAACACTATAGAGGTCAAATTTGCAGCCTCTACCTGCGCCCTATACGGTGGTTACCTAGTTGAAATCAACTCCTACAACGAAATGAAGTTTCTCAAAAATTTCTTGTCAGCCTACCCAGATTATACACTCGTGCTCACTGGAGGCAACGACGAAGGCATTGAAGGACACTGGTTTAACAGGTACAGTGGAACCTCAATGGCCTACCTGAACTGGGCAGGTGGAGAGCCGAATGAAGGTCGTGGCGCCAACTGTCTTTACTTGTGGAGAGAGAGGAGCATGCAAATGTGCGACAATGCGTGTTATCTTACTAGTACTTCGTTCAATTTGGGATATTTGTGTAAAATACCTGCGTAGGTATAGTGGTGGGCATAATGAGAAGTGGTTTGTGGTTGAGTTTGTAACCACTTAGTTTTAAGAATATTATAATTGTAAGTATCGACATGCGTTTGGCATGTTTACATTGGTGTATATATCAATATTTGAGAAGCAATTAATATAAACATATTTATGGGTTTTTACTTGGAAGAAATACAATTTTCACTCTACATACTTAAATAATACAAAACTGTATTATCATTTGATGTTAGTATTGGTATAGTTTTGAGTTTTTATAATTTTCTTAAGCTTGGTTAAAGTATTTCTTTTAGCGTACCTACTAAAACATGTCTTCAACTATAAAATATTTTTATATAAAGGGTTTCTAGTGTCAACGCATGCAATTCATCACAAATTCACCTGTAGAAATTAATTACAATATTTGGGATGAAAAACTTTTAGAGATCATTAATATGCAGTCATGCAGCCACCATAGAAAATTTAACTTGGACGTGGAGCAAATACATCCTTATAATGTTTGACCTAATGAATTTTTGTTCCATTCTGAAACTACAAATAAGAATTTGTTATATCATGTGTACTTTTCTTTATTTACCCGTTATTAATAAAGCAAACTTTTAAATAAAATCAATCACTGTTAAGCTAGTTTTAAATCATTTCTTACATATTTCGTCAGACTTTCTTCTATCCCCGCGGCAACGCGCGGGACTGGCACGCTAGTATATATGTAAAAAACAATGCATATGTCTGTCTGTCTGTCTGTCTATCTTTTATGCATCACTACACCTTTCATCACATCGCCATGAAACTTTGTGAAGTTGTTAAGAATACTCTTTTGGAGATTCCTGCCAAAACAAAGTTTCAAATTCGCAGAGGTGGCGTCCCGGTTTTTTTTAAATCTATATACGGCATATAAAAATAATTGCTGTGTCACACCGTTCATCATATCGCCATCAAACATAAGGGTGTTTTAAGAACACTCTATGAAAGGGTTCTGCAAAAAAATATTATTTTTTTTGGAATTTCGCAAGGGCGGCGCTACGGGAGGGTGCATTTTTTCTGTGTATACGGTATATAAAAATAAATGTCGGATGCAGTTCGACACCGTTCATCCGTGTGCCGTAAAGCAAGACGGCTTCTGTGAACAAAAGAACTACAATTTGATATGGGCGGCGCCCGGGAGAGTGCGATTTTCGTCAGTACGCGATTTGGCGCCCAGAGTTTCAGAGCGGCTATGTTAGTACTTTGCATCTGTTTATCGTAGGTCCTCCATAGCAGGTAAGGGGTACTACAATATTCATTGTTAAAACTTCAACAGGCGCAATAGTTGATGCCCCGTAGATTGCAATTCTCGAAGCACCCCGTGCTCCCCTGCGAGCACTATGGCGCCTACGTTCGTTCAAAATAAAGGCTGTACACTAAACATACGATGGGCAACACTATTCGTTGACTATATTGAGGCAGGCGCGTCTCCCGGCGCCCCTGCAGGGCTCGATTTGGCGCGCCTTGGGCTTTCCAGTGAGCGCAATGGCACCTATGTTCGTTCTAAACAGTGCTTTAGACAATGAATAAGACGAGGAGTTACTTACAGTCGCTCACTAAATTGAATCAGGCGTGTCCGCCGGTGCCCTGGTAGGGTGCCATTCGGTTGCGAACAAAAAATTTAGTTCCGGCCCCCAAATGCTCATATCGGCCGCTGACGGCCCTGTAATATTTTTTTAATAATCAGATAAATTAACCAAGGTTACATTATTAACTGGTTTGTTTCCTTTACTCCATTAAAAAGTCGAAACAATTCCAAAGCTACATTTCTCCAATAATCAAAATATTTCCGTAAAAAATAAAGTTCCGGAGGGCAACGCAAATCTAAAAATAAAAATCACACTTCTAAAAATAACTTTGTAACGCAAGGAAATCCTTATGTTCAGTTTCGTCACTTTGCGAATGATGTAATAAGCAACTATTTTTAGACGATCCAATCGGGAAATTCAAATCGAAATTCTAACATTAGACAATTAGTAACGCTAATAAATTGCATCGGTCACACTGATGTTTATAACATGTTAATTTTTTTTTCTACGTGTTTAAGAAAATATCCTGTTGATTTTTGTCACTTCAATCTGCATCATTGTTTTAAGATGCTATTTGGCGCTCTGGGTTATCACCAGGGCGTCTATGTTAATTTTAAACTGCCAGAGACCTTACGCAGCCACACTGCAATAGTGTAACCGGGGGCTCTCAAGAGCGCCCCTCTACGTTCCTGACACCATGGCGATCACCAAAGTGTGTTCTACCTTACCATTACAGTTAGTGATTAACGTACACGCAAGGCTTTCATGCGGTAGGTAAACCTGTAATCCGATAAATATGACCCAAGCGCAATCGTTGTTTACATTTAAATTTAAATTCAGTTTTAGAAAAAAAAGGACACACGTCTAAGAATACGCATTGATGAAACCCTTCTTACAAATTTAGATAGACTTTCTTCTACCCCCGCGGCAACGCGCGGAGACGGGCACGCTAGTATTTCATAAACGAGGGCATCTAGGCATAGTGTTGACCACAGTATCCTCTGTAAGCCGAGGTTACTCACACAGATGAACGTTACTTTATCTTTTTGGTGTGTCTTAGGCACTTACGTGAAAATGTGATGATGATTTGGCTAGTAGTATAAATTATATTTTATATAGATTTGTAGAGAGCCTATTATATTGTTCAGCTCTTTCTTTTTTTATTCCATATCTACAGCGACTTTGCTTTATGTCACGACACAATAGTAAACTAATTAAATATATACTAAAATTTGTTTGATGTAGTTATTGGTCAAAATATAAAATAAACCATAGGCAACAATTTTAACATGCTATACAGAGCAATAACATGTAACACATATAGTTACCAGCCAAGGGGGGATAAGAATAGTTATAATTTATTGGGTTGCGGCCCCTGTAGTTGTTTTGCATGCTCTTCTGTGAACGATTTTACCTGTATCCCATTATTATGGGTAGTTCGTGTCTAGCCGTGTCAGTCAGACCCAAGGCTGCTGTGGACACAGAGGGTGACGGTACCAAGAGGTAGACATAACAATGTAGACCTAAGAAGGTAATGTGGTTATATAAATTATGTTTATTGTTAGAATACTTATTTGTGTATTCCTGCTAGTGCTGCAGGTTGCACACTAGTTAGGGTGAGTATTTATTTAGGTATTTATTGTTGTACCGCTTATTGGTACTTGTTGGCAGTACTGTGTACTGGCCGCAACATATTTTATTGCACCCGTGTATGTTTGTAGCCTACACGTGGAATTATCATTGATGTAACCGTTTGTTTACATTTGTTTTAGGGCTACAGTTTTTTTTCTCGCTGCTTTTTGTTTTTGCTTCATTATTCATCTATAAGTCGTCGTCTACTGTTGTTCTGCATCGCCGTCATGGCTCGATGCAGTGAATAAATCCAGTACTTGACAACATTTGTCAGTGTCAGTGTGTCCTAAATCTCAGGGTCATCCCTTTTAACCACAACACCTCAGTGGGTAAAAGCATCCCCACTGAGTGAGTGTTACAAACAAAAATATTTTTTTTGCCAAAACAAGGATAACACGTATTGGACTAAGAGGTTAATTATTGACTTTATTAAAACGTAAAACATAGACATAAACATAAACATCCATATTCATGTAATAAAGCAATGATTTACTATACTAATGAATTTATTGTATTTGGTATTGTAATGCCCATATCGTTAGTAGATAGAATCCTTTTTCTTATCACTCTTTCAAACAGGAGAAAGAGATTTAATTATGCGATCTATATAAGAAAATGTTAAAATTAAAAATATTACAAATTACACTTATTATGTTACATGCACAAATTTTGTCTTTAATTAAGGAATCTCACATAAAAATCCAAAGATCAAATTACTTTCAACAAAACTACAATGTCCTTCGTACATATACCAGTTTGAGTAACTCGAAAACCACATACAGGAAGTATTTACGTTATTGATAGGTTCACCTTGACCCCATTGAATATCATGTGGCACTGTACCGCTATGTAAGTTAACCCACTGACCAACATGACCCTCTTCCGTCGCTCCGGTCATAACGTAATTCATCTCTTCATGTTTCGCTACAAAACTCCGTAGAAAATTAAACTCCGCAATAGAATCGATCTCAACCAAATATCCACCAAACAACTCACAAACAGCTTCAAAATCTTTAAATGACACCGTAGCTCTAGGATAAGACAGATAGTAATGATGCTGGTTGTACATTGTCGAATCATTGAATAGTAATCTTTGAATAGACTCGATACGGCCGTTCCAGATTTGTTGATTGACCTTCAGTTCTAGCACTAAGCTTTTTATTTCATCAATCGTTCTATTCAATCTTACGTCTACAGCATTCATAAGTTCCATTTTAGAGTTTATGTTTCTTATTTCGCCTACCAAAACAGCAGCATCTGGGTAATAATAGGGTATTAATAAAGTGCTATTTATAGAAACCGAATGTCCAGCGTCGTCAACCCCATGAGCCTCACACATGTATAGACCAGCATTTGACGAGTCCGGGTATTCCCAAACCAGGCTCAAGTATGAAACACCGTTATTGTCAATTATGCCAATTGCTGTCTGGTTATCTCTAAGATGTTCTGTGACATGCCCACTGGGTTGAAAACCGTTGAGAGAGTTCAGTTCCTTGAAGGTCGTGTCGTCCACTCCCGTTGACCTTGAGATGATCATAGAAATGACGCCTGATAATCTTCTTTCTATTGTGGTCGAGCAGTTGACCGTAAGGGTTCTTGTTAGACCAGACTCAATGCTAGTTGGGGTGGCCTGGAGCTGGATGCCTGAGACTGAAATATGTCATTTCCGGGCATGAATATTTTAAACATAAATACATACTAGCCGTCCCGGCCAGGCTCTGCTCTGGCTTCTGTGAAAAACCTTTCTGTTAAAGACCATTACCTGTGTGTTTAGTAATCATCATAAACCCGGCATTGCCCACCCAAACCATAACCAACCGAAACAACAAAACGCAAACATAACGCTAACACAATTACAAATACAAACGAAAAAAAATCCTAACAACAAACCCAACCACAATCACAAACACCAATACAAACACAAAGAAAAAACTAACAAAAAAGCAAACGAAAACAAAAACCAAACAACAAACCCAACCACAACCACAAACACCATACGAACATAAAGAAACAAAAACGAAAAAGCAAACGAAAACAAACCAAATCCAAACGCAAAACCAACCACAAACACAAACCCAAAGAAAAAAACACAAACGAAAAAGCAAACGAAAACAAACCAAAGCCAAACGCAAAACCAACCACAAACACAAATACAAACACAAACCCAAAGAAAAAAACACAAACGAAAATGAAAAAAGAAAGAACAAAAACGAACCAAATCAAAACGCAACCACTAACGCAAACCCAACCTACACACAAAGAAAACACTAACGCGAACATAAACGCAAAGTGCTAACATTCTAGCCCGGGACAGAATCGCCTGTTTCAGCTTAATAATCGACTATAGTACCCCAACTTATTCATAGTCTTTTGCACTCACTTAAACGAACGTAGGTGCCAAACCAAACCAAATGAACAATTATAATACTCGAAGCTTATTTGTAAAATACCTACAACATTTGCACTTGATCAATCCCCGCTAATTATGTAATTATTTTTTTTCCCAACACCAAAACAAAGTAATAAAAAGTAAATTCTTTTCCACTAATGCAATGGTTTTATAAAGGGAAGTAATTGTGTTTTCCTAATTTATCAAAGGGAAGTAAGTGCTAAAGGACTAAATATAAATAATTTTCAGACATAATTAGAATTTTTGTTATTTTTGTAAAATTGTGTTTAATGAGCATGCCGACAATTATTACTATCAGTTTGAAAAATGAAAATTATTTCCCAACACTTTCAATAGTAATTTTTTAACTCATAAATTTAGACTATGAGCACGATAATAGTCTAACACTTAAACCCATCGAAGTCTGTCAACGACAAACAAACTTTTTACACACTACAAGTTACATACAGAATTGAGCTTTATATTATTATATATACACACTTTAATACGAAATATAAATAATATAATATGTGTGTAATCATCTGTAGCCTATAAGAATAGATTTTGTATATACTTATACGTGTAGACGTAAATATATAGAATTTGAAAATATACAAAGATATGTATATATATATACATATATATATATATATATATATATATATATATATATATATATATATATATATATATATATATATATATATATATATTAATTTATATATATATATATATATATATATATATATATATATATATATATATATATATATATATATATATATATATAAAGATAGATAGATAGATAGATATGTATAAACTTACCTAAGGAAAAGGCACATGCTAGCGCCATTTGAATGAAAAAGAACATTTTATTTAGTAACTCCCTTTGTCACTTACAATATATCTTTTATACAAATTTAGTCAAGCCTTGGTTGCAAGAAGAAACGTTTTCTGGTGTTTTAGTTGTTTTATAAACACAAAACTTTTACTAACCCTATTTATACTGTAATATAGACACTACTTCCTGGTTGCTAGCGATAAACGATGATCCACTTTAATTAGAAGTAAACAAAGAATTAAATGATATGGCTGTTATTGATTAGATAAGATAGGCGTATAATTAATAATCACGCGGAAATTTAGTGTGATTGGTAGAATACTACTCGAGGCTATACTATGTAGGACACTCATGTTGCTTTGCCAATGATAACATATCTTTGTTATTTAGTAGAGAAATCACGAATTTTATATCAACAATAAATATTAATATACATACATACCTACTGTTCCACAACAAGTCACTTTTTGTTCATGCCTCGTTCGGTTCTGTAATATAAACTCGGTTACTATTGTATCAATTACATTCAGATTGTCATAACAAATACTAAAACATTAAATAACGAGAAAAATGGCCCGTTGAGGAAGGATACACCGGGCGCTAGGTTGATAGTGCTGTCTTTTTTCTCTAAACTAAAACCAACCCACCCCCCCCCCCCACCCCCCAAAAAAACATGTCTACCGTCCCATTCAACGAAATATAATTATATACTTTTTCCAGTGTCCGCCCCCTCCCCGAAAATTCTACCCCCGCCCCCGAAAATTTCAAGTACCCCCACCCCTCTCCGGGGAGGAAAAAGTCTGAAAGAAACACTGGTGTCGCGCTTAGCCACTACCCGAAGAATTGCATTAAAGAAATTGCAAGAAAAGATTAGACACATTAATTAGGCGGTAATTTTATTATAGAGTATCGATGAAGAAATTTCTTTAGAGTTGGGGAGGGGGGGGGGGGGGGCTCAGACGTTCTTACGCGGGGGTGGGGCTTCGCCCCTACCCGAAGAATTGTATGCAAGAAACTCTTCACGCAAACCATTTAGATTAGACACAATTTCCTTTTTATTCAATGTTTACTCGAGAATCAATAACGTCATATTACTGTGTGCACTCTCCGGCTTGAGATTATTTTCTACTCAATGCTAAATGTGACCGCGTCATACTTCGTTTTTCGAAATACTATGCATGTTTTTAATTTTCTTGTGTTTTCTCTAGAGCGTTCTTGTCAGATAGATACATACATACACAGACAGCGAAACTATTATTATAGACGAGAAAAATGGCCCGTTGAGGAAGGATACACCGGGCGCTAGGTGGATAGTGCTGTCTCTTTTCTCTAAACTAAAACCAACCCACCTCCACCCCCCAACACCCCCCCACCCCCACCACCCCCCACCCCCCCCAACCCCCAAAAAAAACATGTCTACCGTCCCATTCAACGAAATATAATTATATAATTTTTCCAGTGTCCGCCCTTTCCCCGAAAATTCTATCCCCGCCCCCGAAAATTTCAAGTACCCACACCCCTCTCCGGGGAGGAAAAAGTCTAAACTAAAACCACCTCACCCCTCCCCACACACCACCCACCCCCACCCCCCCCCCCCACACACCACCCCCACCCCCCACACACACCACCCCCACCCCCCCCACCCCCACCCCACCCCCCACACACACAGCACCCCCCACACCTCACCCCCACACCCCCACACCCCACCCCCAATCCCCCCCCACACACACCACCCCCCACACACACACACCACCCCCCCACCCCTTCCCCCAAAAAAAACATGTCTACCGTCCCATTCAACGAAATATAATTATATACTTTTTCCAGTGTCCGCCCCCTCCCCAAAAATCCTACCCCCGCCACCGAAAATTTCAAGTACCCCCCACCCCTTTCGGGGAGGAAACAGTCTAAATTAAAACCACCCCACCCCCCACACACCCTCCCCCCCCCCCCCACACCCCCCCCCCCCCTAAAAAAAACATGTCTACCGTCCCATTCAACGAAATATAATTATATTTTTTTTCCAGTGTCAGCCCCCTCCGCGAAAATTCTACCCCCGCCCCCGAAAATTTCAAGTACCCCCACCCCACTCCGGGGAGGAAAAAGTCTGAAAGAAACACTGGTGTCGCGCTTAGCCACTACCCGAAGAATTGCATTAAAGACATTGCAAGAAAACCACTTTTTAGATTAGACACATTAATTTGGCGGTAATTTTATTATAGAGTATCGATGAAGAAATTTCTTTTGAGTTGGGGAGGGGGGGGGCTCAGACGTTCTTACGCGGGGGGTGGGGCTTCGCCCCTACCCGAAGAATTGTATGCAAGAAACTCTTCACGCAAACCATTTAGATTAGACCAAATTGCCTTTGTATTCAATGTTTACTCGAGAATCAATGACGTCATATTACTGTGTGCACTCTCCGGTTTGAGATTATTTTCTACTCTGTGCTAAATGTGACCGCGTCATACTTCGTTTTCGTTTCACTGTGAGAGTTTTTAATTTCCTTGTGTTTTCTCTAGAGCGTTCTTGTCAGACAGATAGATAGATAGATAGATACACAGATACACAGACAACGAAACTATTATTATAGATGATATTCAGTGGAATCAGCTAATAGACCTGGATTGGTCGCTTCACACTTAGCGTATCTTTTCGTTTTTGTTAGCTTTACCAGAGAGTGTTCAGTGCCAAAAATAGACATAATTAGAGAACAGTGCCTTAGAAATGACATAGCCAGACGGAATCTGAATCCACCACTGCATAGCACACTGAATCGCCTCACCTACCATATATTAAGCCAAAAGTATGAAACATAACGACCGGTTAATTTTACAAAAATAGAGCATTTCAGAAGGTCAAGTGTCGTTGTTTATTCACGGAATGCATAAACAGACATGAATTTTGACTCTCTAAGCGCCTGTTAACAATAATTTTAAAAACAAAACATGGACTATTTTTTGCACCACAAATGATACACAATGGGATGGCGTTGCCTAGGGGTAAATAGCGAGACTGCTAACCCGTTAGTCTCGAGTTCTAATCCCGGTTCAAGTCAGTTTCTTTGAGTCCACCCAGCTCTAATAGGTACCTAACTCACGCTAGGGAAAGCAAAGGCAGCTGGGCATAATGCTAACCATATTATTCTTTCAGATGCCGAAGGCTTTCAAACAGATGAACGCTATTTCATCTGCTCTATGTGTCTTGGGCACGAAACGGAAAAAGTGATGATGAAACGATACAATTCCAACGTACTCTTGCACAAATGGTGTTAACGTTTTCATAAATTACAGAATAACGTGTATATTTGAAATAAGTTGAAATATAAATTTTATTGAACATAAAGATATAGCTTAAATCTAGAAGTATACATTACTTAAGTTTTAGCCAAATATTACATTTGAATTAACAATATTTAAAATGCAAAACACCAAGTACTACATAAAAATACACGAGTCTTTTTTAAACAGGTGTATGTGTATTTATGTAAAGCCTGCGTAAGTATCAACAATCGGCCTGTTCTCGAAGACAAGCCGTTGTTGCACATGACACAATACCTAGTGGGGTGAAGTATTTAATGAGGTATCTCACAAATGAACCCATTTTCAAATGTTTGTGTCACAGCATGACATGGATCGTCCGTTAGGTACCAATTTCTTAGTCGATGAAAGCTCATGCAGTTGTTAAGACGCCCTTCATTGGGTTGATCTTGCGCCCATTGGATATCATTGAAAACTGTACCACTGTGTAAGTATACCCAGTGGTTCTCTTCAGCTTCATCCGTTGCTCCTGTCTTTACAGATAAAAATTCGGAAAAACTCGAGATAAAATTGTGTAAATATGTAAACTCGGCTATTGAATCAATTTCAACCAAATAGCCTCCAAACACCTCACAAACGGCTTGAAAATCTTCAATATTTATTATACTCCGAGGATATGATAAAAGGTATTGATGATTGTTAAATACTGTCCAATTTTTAAATATAAATTTCTTAGCAAACTCCATTCGAGTGTCCCATGTTTGATGATAAACGTTAACAGCACGAAAAGCCTGATTAAGGTCTTCTAATTTGGTGGTCATTGTTTGGTTGAAAAGTTCTATAACGCTATTCATTTTCTTGAGCTCACTAACCAAAACACTAACGTCTGGGTAAGAAGACGATACAAAAACCGTGCTATTTATAGAAACCGGATGTCCTGCGTCATCCACCCCATTAGCCTCACACCTGTAGAGGCCGGCATTTGTTGAATCCGGGTATTCCCAAACCAGGCTCAAGTATGAAACACCGTTATTGTCAATTATGCCATTTGCTGTCTGGTTATCTCTAAGATGTTCAGTGACATGCCCGCTGGGTTGAAAACCGTTGAGAGAGTTGAGTTCCTTGAAGGTCGTGTCGTCCACTCCTGTTGACCTTGAGATGATCAAAGAAATCACGCTGGACATTCTTCCGTCTATTACCGTCGAGCAATTGACCGTTAGAGTTCTTGTTAGACCAGACTCAATAGAAGGTGGGGTGGCTTGAAGCTGGATGCTTGTGGCTGGAAAATACAATGTGTTGCGTGAAGTATGTATACTGTGACATCTTTATATAACTATATTTAAATAAAACTATGTCTTATCGGATGAATGGGGAATTAATTAATAAAAGACAAACCCACAGACACATAAACATTATATCATTAATATATAAATAAATCTGAAATAAAACTCACCTGTGGAAAAAAGAAGCCCTAAAAACGTTACAATGAACAGCAACATTGTATCCAGTTAGTCCCCTGTCTACCACTTAAAACACTTTATATTTTAAGCAAGTTTATTTAAGCTTCGGTTACAATATGCACCTGTTTCTAGGATTTCAGTTCCTATGTATATAGACAACTTTAACTAGTTCTATTTATACTTTGATATAGACACTACTTCCTGGTTGATGAAGATACCTACTGATACGCTTAGATTGGAAATTAATAACAAATGATTTGGTATGTTGATTGTTATTACTTAGATAAGATATGCGGTAGTAAACAAATGTGTTACGACTATAACAAATAGGCTCTCTGGGCTTTGTATAATGTGACCCGATGCTGAAGTATTTTGACCATTCATGTTGTGTTGCCGATGATAAAACATCCTTGTTATTCATTACTAAGGGCATGAATTTTAGGATAACAATAAAAAAGGGTCCCAAAGTTCATGAAAACAATGAGTAAACTATCAAGTGGTATGATAAGATGATAAGAAAAGACAATAAAAGATTAAAATTAGATGTCTATACGTGATAAAACTCAAATTTATTATAACTGGTATAAACAAGTAGAGTTGAAAACATATCAGCAAGGTCAAGAGTAAGATAATGATTACTATCATCAATGAGAAAACCACTTTTAAAACACCGCAATACTATATGCTTACCTGGATTACTCGATTTTGTGAGCTTATGTTATAAACGATAAATATATTATTTTGTCTGAATTTTTGAACAGCGTCATTTCTACGTTGTGAATAAGGGCACTTATGATGTCGAGCGAATAACACATCAATAAGATAAAGTAAAATAAGACTATACATTTTTTTACATTAAATATAATCAAGCCGATAGTTCTTTCATATCTTTCCATTTCTGGATACGAGCATGTGATATTTTAATCACTGGCGGTTGATTGTGTTATTTTATGCCAAAAGTCGTATCACCAAACCAAATATGCTATTAGACTACATTACCATCAGAATTAAGCAAACAATTTTTACACAATAATTACAATTATACCTTTAAAACAATTAAAATAAACTTCAGCATATTTGCAATTGCGTCACTCTCTCAATGGGAACGAACAAGTAATCCTCATGGCAGTTTTTTTCTAAATATGCATATTAAGGTTGAAAGTAAAAATATAAATTGCTTTTATTCTGGAAAGATATTGTATGTTTCAGTTTAACAAGGTGTACATTCCTTTATTCAAGTTTATTAGCAACACTGTTTTATAAATCTTTGAGTTAAAGTAGTTAGAAATATTTCTCTCATCCTGGATTTCAATATAAGTTTTAATAAGTAATAAGTATAACTCAATCATCTGTATTTTGTTATGTATACTATCTTAAAAACTATGTTTCTGTATACTTTTAAGTTAGCAATTATTTTAAGGATATGATCACCCATGGATTTTTTAATCCAAGAAAAAATATAGTGGAATGACAAGGGAAGTAACTTCAAAAACACAACCCAATTATTTTATTATTCCATATTAATTATGAAAATTCAAAAGTACATCCATCGAGTGTCTGGGAATCTACTAAAACATAGATTGAAAAACTGAATTTTCCCTTTCGTTCCTTGCTTTTAGATTAAGCAGAGTTCATGTGTTGACTTCTGACTGTGAAAAGAGATAGTGTGGTCAGTGATATGCCCAACAGCCTTTACTTCACTTAACGAGTCATATACAAAACAGAGCTGTGGGTAGATTCTGGGACGTGTTACACGCTCTAGCCTGGTATATAAAGTCGAGGATTTCGGGTTAGCCTCTAACCTAGTATATAAAGTCGAGGATTTCGGGTTAGCCTCTAACCTAGTATATAAAGTCGAGGATTTCGGGTTAGCCTCTAACCTAGTATATAAAGTCGAGGATTTCGGGTTAGCAACCGTGCGCTCTACCACACTACCATGCTGGCTCAAACTATAATGTGATGGTCATAACTTCTTGCTTTACTAGATCTGGATCTGTGGGCGTTATGAATAGCGTTCTAAGAAAACGGTAGTCCAAACAATTCGTTACTAAACCATTTGATTAATAAAAACAAGAGAAACAGGGTAAACAGGTCAACTCTACAGCAGTTACAAAATATGAGAAGCTATTCTCGTTAACCCGAAGTCTCGAGTTCGAATACGGGTTAAAATCAGTGTAATGTCCATGAGTCTACCCATAACTCACGTCAGGGAAAATAAAGCATAGTGCAGACCACACTATCCCTTCATAAGCTGATGTCACAGAAACAAGTGAACTCTACTTCACTTGCCCAATGAACTGTCAGGTATGAAAGGAACTTTATTTTTACTTTTGACTTAATTCCTCAAACTCTGAGAGTAGAATCACCCATGGTCACTTGCTAAGGATTCGATCCCACAGGGGGGAGAATGTGTTGTCTGCAACACTACCCTAGACCAGTCCAATTTCGCTCTGAACAACAGCAGGTTTTATCAGTAATAGCGGAAAATCCAGTACGAAATTAATTCTGCATACAATGATCAATTTGTGCATATCTTGTCTCATGTTAATAAATAATTGCATAATAACCAGCAGTACTAGGTAAACAATTGTGAACACATTTCAAAAATATTTTGAAAACTTAGTTTTGTTTTGAATCAAACGTAGTAGATTTGTTGTATATTTTTTGCTAGTTTAAAGTATCTCGATTGATGTGTAGGTTTGGGTCTCCCATAAATAACGTCACGCTTTTTTTGACGATTTTTACCTCTTCCCTCCCCTCCGTCACACATCGTCAAAAAAGCCAGACCCCCCCCCCATCCCTAAAATGACGTCACACTTCAGCCGACAACCCCCCTCCCCCCCCCCCCTCAAAATTGCAGTTGAATTTTTTTTAAAACATTGATACTTTTCCAAAAGCTTGTCAGAACTCTGTCAAGATAGACTATTTTAATCAATTCCTATTACAATCTATTAAAACAGTTTTCTAAAACGCAAAATAACGACTAAAACTCGTTTTCTAACATTGCTTTTTTATAATTCAAAAGTGTGACGTCACACCATCTGAACGCCCCTCCCCCTTATCACACACCGTCACAAAATTACGGATTCCCCTCTCCCCTACGAGTATGACGTCATTGATAACGACCACGCACGCAAGTAAGGGACATGTAATTGTCGTTTAAGAGTTTATCTGTTGCCAGTTACTTCCCGAATAATTAGATCTTAACAACATGGCACGTCATTACTTTAAATAGCCAAAGGACGCATATACTTTTTTTACTCAATGTATTGAAGGAATAGATTCGACGATGGATGCTTTTGTTGGGGCCGTTTTATCGGCTATTTTTAACATAATTTCTCTACGACTTATCATTAATGAAATGTGATCAAAGTATTCCTATTTTTTCTGAATAATTCCTCTCAGTATTTGGTGTTCTTATGTATTTGCACTTCTTTTACAGTGTAACATTTCGGCACTACATTCATGTCTAGCTGACATAACAAATCGTCCTGATTTCATGAATTTTATAATTAATTTGGGTACTGAAGGTGTCTATCTTTACAGTTGAAAACTGCATCTACATATGGGACAGCGTGGTCGGGAGCTAGACAGTTCGACTGCTAGCCGAAGGTATCGAGTTCAGATCTTAAAGAGGACTCGTGTCGTCAGGCCGTGACCCAGCTCTGACTCATGTTAGGGCCAGTAAAGATAGATGGGCATAATGCTGGCCACACCATACCTTCATATATAAAGTAAAGATTCCTCTTTATACCTAGCAATCTGTTTGGTAAATGAAGTAGAACTCAAAAGTATCTTGACCATGGTTCGGTCAGCACTATGCCCAGCCGCCTTTACTTCCCTAAATGAGTTAGACACCCATCAGAGCTGGGTGAACTCATGGACTTTCTACAGAATTGAAACCGAATTTGAACTCAAGACTTTCGAAATAGCAGTCTATCGCTCTACATCTAGGCCACGCCATCCAGTATATACCTTCATTTGTCGATGTCCAAAAATTTTGAACTTTTCTTCATTTGTCCTATGGATCTGTATAATTGAAATAAGAACTTTACTACATCTGCTTAAGTCCTTCTTACTTATACGCATTTTACGTAGGTCTGCTGTACACCTGCTAATTACTCCTTTTAAGAAGTTTCTGTTTTGAATACCTTGGTATATGCTGCAAGTGTTCTAGTTTATTTTGTTAATTATTTTACATTTACTAAGAATGCAGCTCATGAGGGCGTTAATGGTCTACCACAACTGAGCTTCATTAAAGTGTTCATTGGATCATCTCCATGCATACATACATTATAGTGTGCTAGCACGGCATCTGTAGTATATGATTATAAATATTGTTACGATCCCAAGAGATCTTTACCTGTGTTTGGCCCCATCGAGGGGACAGGTGACCAGCGCTTGAATAGCCGGCCGGGTAATGAAAATGAAATGCGGAGGCATGTTCATGTACTGGCCAGTGTAGGCCGTGAGATTCTGGGGGTCTTGTCGGCCACACCGCGGATTGGATTCCACGCTGTGGGCGGTGAAGAATTGGAACCTTCAGGACTCGGATAGTAACGTGGCCAACAGCCCATAAAATTAACTTGTGACGCCGTTGATGCTTGGCCTAGGCTAGTGACAGTCCGCGGTTTACGGCTGGTAAAACCTTCCAGATCGTACCGGGGCCGAGTGGACGGTCATGGTCGGATCTGACCTAGGGTCAGGCTCTAATTAAAATTGTTC